TTTTTACTAATCCCTCCAAAGTATTCGTAATTTTTAGGCCCGTCAAACTTAAACGCGGAGATAGCGCGGAGAACGTCGCGAACGATCACAACGGGCCCGGCAAGAACGGCGGCCTGCGCCATTTTCCAAACCAGGCCGCGAGGCTCTCTCCTCCTCCTGCCCCGTCTACGATATTTTGCTTTTATCACGCGTACAACGAGATCCACCGTTCTATCATTCCTAATGCCGTTTTTCACCGAAACGAAGTTTCAGAAGTCGTAGTAACGGTACAGAGAGCGGCGGCGTGCGGGTCCGGGAACGCCCCGGGTGGCCAATTTTCGTCGATCGGAAATGAAATTTCGATCGATGAAACAGCCTCGTCACCGCCCGGAGAAATCTAACCTACGATTCGCATTAGGCGGCAATTTTTGCGCGACGGGACGCTCTTCAGGTCGAAAGAGAAAGAGAAAGAGAGAGAGAGAGAGAGAGAGACAGAGAACGTTGGCGTAGCATGTTCGCGACAACCATGCAAACCAACCCCCGTTTCACAGAAAACAAGACGCTCTCGCGTTGACAGATCAACGAGAGACGACACGGCGACTCGCGGCGAGTGCTCGACAACCGAATGAATATCCACGGGGAGCAAAGCGACGGGTGGTTGGTACCCCCCGCTGGATAAGAGGAATACGCGATTATTCGGTTAAGAGACCGATCTGGCCGGGCCTGCTCTCCCCAACTCTCTCTCTCTCTCTCTTGATCTGTGTGTCGTTCATCCGTCGTCCATCGAAAAGTTCCAACGAGCGACTATAAATTAGATTCGCGACGCGGCAAAGGAAAATATCTGTCGGTTAGGCGGCTCTGAATGCTCTCTCTTTCTCTAGAGAGAGAGAGAGAGAGACGCGTAAAATCGGTCGTAAACCAAAAGCGAAACGGCGTTTCGCCGTTCGAATTTCGGTTCGAGTTGCAGGCGATCGAAATTTAATTGGCCCCGGGCTCCCCTCGGAAACGGAGCCGCCGCCGCCGCCGCCGCGCGTTCCGGACAGAACGCCGAGGAAACGATCGCACGAAAACGTGCCTGAAAACGTTGCGCAAAACGTCCGAGACGTCTATTATACTATTTACATACAATCGAATCTATCGCGCATACATTTACATACTACGGAGAAATAGGTCGTCTAAGCGAGCAAGGCTAACGAATATGTTGCGTATAAAGTATCACGCGACATCTCGATGCCTCGCGGCTCGTTTCGAGGAAGAGTTTCGAGGAGAGGAATCCGGCGGAGACTGAATGACTCCGATGGAGAGAAGCAGAGTGAGAAGCGAGGCTTGCAAACAGAAAAAGAAAATCGGTGCCCCGACGGGACAACGCTCAAGAAGGATATAAATATTAGCCGACGCCGGGTCACCGTTGACCCAGACATTGACGTTGTATACGTACAGGCAATGATAATAATACGTGGTACCAAATGTTTACGATTTATAAATGCAATGAAACACATGCAGTGCACATAAATAAATAAAAAAACATGTTCACGAAATTTTACATTTTTCGTAAAAAGGAAAGAAAATTCTCCTCTCCTCCCCCGTATTACGAACGAATTGTCAGATAACATCCTGTACCAGAGAGTTAGGCGCAAAGTAGCAAGTATAGCAAAAATTCGGCTACGGGTCAAAAGTGATCTGGTGTCGCTCATTTACGTCCGCTTTCCCTTTCGAGGATTAATATAATGGCGTTGATTACGACGAAAACCTGCGTAGCTCAGGTCTTTGACTACTAGAGTCAGACCCCGAACGCGATCAGGACTCGTTGTCGATTGTGTTTGCAGCATTTATCGGTGATTTATCGAAGAGAGAGCAACGACGACGACGATAAAGAGCAAAACGACAGCGGAGGAAGACGGTCGCGGGACTGTCGTTACGAAAAGCAAGAGAGGAGTGAAAGTACGAGTGAAACGGCTAGGGGATGATATATAGTGTGATATATATATATATATATATATATATATATATATATATATAAAGAGAGAGAGAGAGAAAGAGATAGCATGGTGGGCAAACGCGAGAGAGAAAGAGAGAGGGTGCGAACGCGTTGCATCTCGAGCGTCGGGAGGGTTTCCGGGGGCGAGGGTGGCACCACGGGCATTAAATATACACGCTGATTTGTCGTCCGCGGATTGTCACCTCTGATAGCTTTCATTTTGTTGTGTATATCGGTGGCGGGCGCGCTAGCCCCCGCACGCGCTCCGCGCTTTTCCACCGTAATTCGGCCCGCTTGATTGACTTTTGAGCTGGCCTTTATGGCGATATTCGTTGCGCGAATGCGCCAACCCTCGAATCCGTTCTCCACCCTGTCCCCTCCCCACCCCCTCTTTCTCTCGCTCTCTCTCTCTCTCTTTCGCCACTCCCGCTCCTCCCCTGCCCCCAGTGTGCCCCTAGACGTCTCTAGTAGATTTATCGGACAGCGAACGCGTGTCCTGCCGAACGGTTTTTCGTTCGTTTCGCACCGGTGGTAGCCCGTCACCGGAAACCGTGATGCCTGCCTGCCTGCCTGCCTGCCTGCCTGCCTGACCGCCCCTGTCTACCTTTTCGTCGCGCCATCACAGCCGCAGGCGGCACGCCGTTCCCGCCAACGCGCCACGTCGTCCCTTCTTCCGACACATTTCCAACTGTTTCGAACGCTCGCGTCAACTCGATCGATCGTGAGACACGGAAGGTTTCCACAATCCCCGTCCGCCGTCGGATTTTTAGCAAGTCTCGCGTACTGCCAGATACCGGTTGGCAACCAGAGACCGGCTGGCTGGTTTGCTCCGTCAGCTCCGGCACTGTGTTTCTGTCAACATCTTCGGACCACCTCGCGGCGATCCTCGATAATCGCGCGATCCCGCCGCCGATTATTTGTTTGAAACTCCGTGGAATTCCGCGTAGTATTGTCCGCCGGCGAGAACAACGCGGTCCGATCGCGATCGTAGCTGCATCGCTGCGAGCACGCGATAATAAACATCGTATAAACTTTCTTTCTTTTCTTCGCGGAAATTCCCAGCTCCCCTCCTTTACGCCGGCGTGAATGTCGCATTCGCCGCGCGAAACGATCGATCTCGCGCCGTTTACCACCGAGAGTCGCCACCGCGATTCAAATAAACTGAGGTGGAACAGGTTACGTTCCTTCTATCTACGGCCCCGGCGGGGCAGACAAAAGTCGGCGGGTTTCGGCGATCGCGTTTGCACCCGCGAAGAAAGTCGTCGAACGACGAAACGGGGACAGAGAGAAGTTCTCGGCGCGGCAGCGGCGCAGAGAACAGAAACGGCGAACGACACAAAAGGGTTCTCCAGGTCTCTCGCGATAACGTTACGCGCCGGTTATTGGAAATAGTCTGGTCGATCTACCCCTACCCACCGTGAAATACACACAGCTCGGCGAGCCTACGTCATACCTTGGCGTATGTACATTATTCATAGCCATCGGTGAAAAGGGCGCCAGCCGTATTACGTATGCCACGGGTTATTATGCCCTCTAAATGTTTAATGTGTTTGCCTTCCTTCTCCGGCCACCAACGTGGCTTTATATGTTTTACTAACTAAATTACTATCTTTTTTCTATTTCTCTTCTTTCCCCCTTATTATTAGTTCTTCGACGTTTATGTTGGCTCGATCGATCCTCACCGTCCACCTTCTTTTTCTTTCTCTCTTTCTTTCTTTCTTTCTTTCTTTTTCGGTCTTCTTCCGATAACCTATCTCGCACGTGTCCACCTCTCTCTCTCTCTCTTTCTCTCTCTCTCTCTCTCTCTCTCTCTCTGTCGACGTCGTCATATACCTCGAATATTTAATCGCCCCCTCTTCTCTTGCCCCGACTGTCGTTTCAACCGCGCGAGAGAATGTCGCGGCTAGCCAAGCTGCCCGTTCGGTTTCCCTGCATACTCGCGAGCATCGACAGCAGAGCAAAGAGAGGAGAGGAGAGAAAGGGGCACGGGGACGAGACGACGAGCTGGCGTCGGCGAGGTTCGCGTTTCCAGCGGAAAATGCTTTTGAAAAAGCCAGCGATTTCGCCGGCCTGGCAAGAAGCGTGCTTGTTTACAGGATTAATTTAATATCCCGACGAGCGTTCCTTGAGCCGGTGGATGCGGAACGGAGAAGGATGGACGGGGTCGTTAAAACCGCGAGTACTAAAACGCGCAACACCGAAACGCGCGAGACCCCGCTGCAAACTTTGCAATTTACTGCCCGACATATTGGCTGCGAAAGCACACGAAATTAAGGCTAGTAAAACACTTTCCTGACACCTCTCGCACCCCCCCGGTCTCACCCCCTGCCACGACCCATCCCCGTCCGGTACCTATGTGGCTACCATCTCGCCGAATCCAGCCTCGCAACTGCACTGCTCACAAAATCAAAAATCAGCTTACACTTCAAAATGAACGTGAAACGACGAGAAAAAAAAGAAGCATTTGATTATTTTCTCTTTTTTTTTTGTTTTCGTTAAGCAAGAACAACTTTCTCTGACCTGTCGTTTGGCTTCTCTGACGTTCTTGTTTAATAAAAAATAATTAATAAAGAATCAAATGCTTCCTTCTTTTTCTATCGCTTCATATTCATTTTGAAATATCCCCGAAATTTTTGTGAGCAGCGTATTTCCGTGCCAAAGCGCGTAGATACCTATCTTCGAACACCTTTTCTGCTCGATTCGTCCACTTTCGTTTTAGAACAAATCCAATCTCCCCTGCGAACGCTCGACTCGTTTGTATTTTTATACGAAAATGATTCTCTCCCTGCTGTTTGCGACAACTGCTTCGTCAAAGATGCATCGCATCTGTTTGTCGCGATTTTGTCGATGAAAAGCTAAATTTTCGGCTCTCGATCGCATTTGAACTTTTTTAACTCCACACTTTCTTTGTGGACTAGTAGTCGTTTCGACGTTTCACAGCGAAATTTCCTACGATCCTTTCCTACTTTATTTGCAAACCTACGAGATTCAATCTGGTGACGCAAGTTGTTCTTTTGAAAAAATCGCGTTTCGTGCAACGCGTTTAAAAGAAACTACTACCGCCACCTATTGTCCTGCACGATAATTGCAATTTTAGCGACAGCCGATAATGCAGGTGCCCGCATTTCCCACCGATTATCGTCTGTTCGTTTATCGATAAACAATTGCATTTCCAAACGGACGGATGAAAAATTTGAAAAAAGAAACAAGAAAGAAAAAAAAAAAGAAAGATAATGGGATGAAAAATAAGAACGAAAAGTGGAGAAACTTACCAGAACGATGAATGAAAATAAACGAGGGATACGCGGGAAGTAACTGTAACAAATGAAAAAGCGTAATTCAAATAAAATGTAAATATGCCAACGTGAGTGTGTTTCGATGAATACGACAATCGGTCGATTCTTCTACTGACAATCTCTTTATTATCAATATATTTCCTGTCGATGTATCTATTTCGCGTCGAGACATATACGTACATAACGTAAACAACAACATTACACGGAACTTGTCCTTGCAGATACATTTCGAAGTGACACGAAACTCGTCGACGAAAATTTCCAAATTGTCGAACGCGTTTTCCACGTTTGCACGCTTGTACATCCACGGTCTCCGACGATCGAGAAAACCGAAAACGTATCGACTCGAGAGTTCAAAAACCGACCAGAGAATCGAGGATAAATCGGTCGTCTGTGAAACCTCTCGAAGAGATCGTTGTTTGCGCGGTGTATCGCGCAACCACTTGTGGATCGTCGAGAGACACGAGACACACACGAGAGAGATACATGTGCGAACGTCAGCGAACGGCGGTTTCACTCGCTGTTTCATCCGCTCGACGGACGAACGTTCAGCGTTGGCGAGTATCGTCGACGCGACGGCAAAGCGACGCCTGAGAATGTGACACGAGCCGGACCGTCCCTCGGTAGAGCGGTTCGCCAATTTTTCACCGAGATTTCCACCGAAATCCGTTTTGTCAACGCCATGTCAAATTTTCAGCGGCGTTCAACGCGCGAAGTAAAAGGAAATCAACCATCTTACCGAAACTGTTCAAAGGCGGAACTATCGACCGTTCGCAGGGATCTCTGACAAAAGTCTCGCGAAACGAAAACGACACAGAAACGACAAAATACTCGGTAGCTAGCGGCGAGATGTTTCGTGCGAGCAACTGCATGTATACACAGATGACGGTGCTGCCGCCAGTTTGGTTCGACGCCGACCATCGCAAACACGCTTACGACCGCGCGATTTCAAACCCTCGCGATCGTTACGATCGTTCCTTTATCGGAAATTATCGTCCGACGATCGTCGTTCGTTGTTCAAATCACCTGAAACGATTCTCATCGAAATTTTTAAAACGATGGATCGTTGGAACGTTTCCCTTATTCGTTACAGCTGGGCGACGCTCGTTCCTCCCTGTAACTCTCTCGCGTTGAAAAAAGAAAATAATTCTGGTTGGCTGTGACGAAATGATTGCGATACTTTTTTTTTCTTTTTTTTTTGCGTATGCTATCTTTTCTCTTTCTCGCCTTTCGTCTCCTCTCTCGTCCAACGCAGTACGACGACTGCGTAAACACGAAAATACATTCGAGTGAAAAATAAATGGGAAAGAAGAACGAATGCGATGCGTCGAATGACAATGTGGTATATTTGGAGATAGGAAAGGGGGATGGAAAATCGTAAGCTGGAAGGGCGAGAGAGAGGAACGAACACGCCAGTGTTCTTGGTGGTAGCAGAGGGAAGCAGTGCTGCCTTTAAAGATGGCCTCCGGACGCAGCGCGCCATGTCGCGTCTACGTGAAAAAATGACGGAAAACGCTGGTCGAGTCGCGAACGTTGGCTAAATCGAGCTGCTCGGTGATCGGGGAAACGAACGTCTTGTGACTATCCCGGGGGAAAGATGCTCGGTATCGCTGAGCGTCTGGCCAGAGTTTGAGTGGCGAAAAATTTGAGCGTGGACATGATGCGAGAACGGGTGAGACTGGCGGCGGTGGTAATCATCCTACCCCGTGTCGAGTGACAGTGGCTTACGTAACGGATTATTCTCGCTATGATAACGATACTCCAGCCGCGAATGCGAAACAAGAAACTGTTTTACCGGGTTGTTCGCGGCGCTGTGCACCAATCTACTAGAAATACGCATCGCGGCTGACCTGATTAACAACTCCGTACGTTCCGATATATCGTACCACGCGGCTGTTCGAGTACTACCCTGCTACCTCGCGCTTTCCCAGCACGCTGGAAAAAGATATTACACCGCCGTTGCCCGAGAAACTATGACAGCGGCGCTCGTCATGGAAAACACAAATTGGGATCCTGGTGAGTAGCTGACTACCTGTACTCTTTCTCTCTCTCTCCCTCTTTCTCACCACGACTTGTGTTTTCCTTTCGATCGTTCTCCCCTTTGAGACAGTTTGTACAATTACCAGCAAGAAAAAACTTGGCACTTGCAGTCCGACTTTGCACCGTATTTGGCTGTTCTTCGACTCTTGGAAACGTGATATTTAGAAATGGTGTTTAAAAGCGTACCGCTTTCCTGCCGTTTCTCCTATCACGTACGCGTCTATTTTTACCTGCCAGCAAGTTTTTCGATAAAATGCCCGAGTTGACTCGGCGCTGTTATTAGTTACCAATCGTTGTCCACTTTGGGGAAATTTTCATCTATCGATCGGAGAACGAGGGTCCGGCAAATTCGATACTTTCGACAAGGAGGAGGGGGGGGGGGGGAAAAAACACGAGGCTGTACTTTTCTATTCTTGGCGCTGTACGTTCCTCGTTTCTTCTCTCCTTTTCCAGCGTTATCCAAGCTGCTGAATTCTCTGCAAGAAAACAAGAACGAGATACCAAGCTGCACCGACGAGGAGTTCGGATTTCTCAGCGACTTGTTGCAGTCGAAGGAACTGAACGCACTGGTGAACGTTCACAACAAGATCTTGAACAACGTCAAGGATGACAAATTCTTCCCGGTGCTCTCCAATTCCATGGACATCGACATCGAAGTTCTGGACCTGCTGTCCACGAAGACGCACGTTTCCAAGGACTGTAAGGAACTCTTTCACCTGCTTCAAAAGCCACACATACAGGTAAGCACGTCCGCGACTGCTGAAGCAGCAGTCCATAGTAGATGGATCAGACTATTGTATATTAAAATACATTGTAAAATATAATCAGACGCATGTATATTAAAATATTTCGTTGCAGGGTTTGTTGTGCGCCCACGATGCAGTCGCCCAGAAGGACTACTATCCCCGATTGCCGGAGATCCCTCTGGAGGTCGACGAGGACGAAGAGACCGTCAAGATTGTACAGTTGGTGAAATCGAACGAACCCTTGGTACGTCAGATAGGTCGCACGTGTTTCGTATTTTCTGTTTATTTCAAAGTAAACTTTCCCGCTCAATTAACACGACAAGAAACGGAGGATAGCTTGATAACGTAGTTTACGTTGGTACTCGTACCTCGTATTGGAAAAAAGTTGTATTTTGTCCGTGTATAATTATACAATGACAATATATTGTATATGTTATACAAGCCTCTCTTTCTCCGTCTACGGACACTGTAATATATTTTTTCCATGAATAGTCGCGGAAGTGTATCCTGTAGTTACACGCGAAGAAAAAAGATAGATACCAAAGAAGATACCAAAATATTTACCTGTGTATGCAAGAAAGAAAGAGAGAGAGAGAGAGGGAGAGAAAGAGAGAACAAAAGGAAAAAAGAGAAAGAATGAATAAAAGAAAAAGTAATTTCGTTCGGGAGTAATTAAGACAATTTGCATGGGAGTTGATTTTGATTAATCCCTGTTGTATCGGCTTAGATGCCTCGTGTTCCTGTAACAAGTACCGTAGTATCGAAATACGTATCGCTCGCGCGATATTCAATACAGTTTCTTAAGTAATCACGTGTTTCTTTCTCATCGTCAAACTTGCTTCGAAGTGTGGCGCTGGCGTTGAACCGATCGTGGTAAGTCGACTTCAAGCCGAAACATGTACAGGCCTGTAATATGCGTTCCATGTGTATCTAGCGATACGCAATACGATTTCGTAGCGTTCCATTTTTGTTTCTGTTCCGTTTCGTTTCACATTTATCAGACGTCTAGTCTGGTTGGAGAAATTTTCGTTTCTTTTTGTCACCTTGTCACTTTATTCTTGCCTTTACACCAGGCCTGAAGCAGAGCACGGGTGCAACCCGCTGTAAATATAGAAACCCGCTGTTCGTTTTTATTTTACTTCATTTTATTTTCTTTTATTTTTTCTTTTTTTTTTTTTTCACATACAACTTGTTCATTTTGCTTACGCAAACTTACTTTTTGTACACCGTGCGTCTCAGTTCTTCCCCTCCCCTCACTGATTTGTGTTTTTTTGTTTGTCACTCTTGCTTGTGAATAAAACAACTTCTCTGTTTAACAATTGTATCTTGTGTTATTGTCCCGCATGTCCTTTCGTTTTGAATGCGCGCAGAATTTCTCGAGATAAATGCAGACTGTATCGAGCTACACGAGCTTTTCGAAATTTTTTTTCAACTCTACCAAACGTAGATCGTCGACGATCTTTCATTTCCTTTTCTTTTTTACCACGCGATTTATCTCGAGACATTTAAACGACGCGACGCCGTCCGAGCAAGAGGGACGGCGCTTACGTACATGTATTCATAACGTTAAGCTTCGATCGAATGTGTGTCTATGCCTTCGTGAAAGAATTCTCTTTCTTTTTTATTAATTTTTTTTTAAGAGAAACGAAGGCACGACCTAAACACGCGCACCTCGCAACCGCAATGAAAATATTAGTTTACACGTTGACAATAGGGAGCGACCATAAAAACGTGCGAGGTCACTGGCAAGATCGTGATAGCGCGAATAATGCACGGCGGCGCGGCCGATAGGTCCGGCCTCATTCACGTCGGCGACGAAGTTTGCGAGGTCAACGGCATCAGCGTCGAGGGAAAGACTCCGAACTGCGTTCTCAAAATATTGGTAGGTCGCTGCATCTACTTTATCTCCCGCGACAGATATACGTACCATACCACTTTGCTCATCAATCTGTGCATACACAGGATGACTTTCGTAACGTGACGACGTCAAATAAGTCGTAAAATATTTATTGTACGAAAAGAATGTTCTCAGGTAGAGGGGGGACACTTAGTATTGTATTCAGTTTTATGTTACTTTTTATCAAGGTGTCAAGATTACTTTTAATTTTTTAAATAGAATAGTTGATATTTCTTTACTGAGATTGACTTTTCTAATACAACGTAAAAAAATATTTTTGCTAATATTCGCCTTTTTTTATCAAGCTTTCAAGGTCACCTTCAATTTTCTAAACGGAATAGTTGACATTTCTTCACTGAGATTGACGGTCTTTTCTAATACAACGTAAAAAGATATTTTTGCTAATATTCGCCTTTTTTTTATCAAGGTGTCAAGATTACTATCAATTTTTTAAATAGAATAGTTGATATTCCTTTACTGAGATTGACAGTCTTTTCTAATACAACGTAAAAAGATATTTTTGCTAATATTCGCCTTTTTTTTATCAAGGTGTCAAGATTACTATCAATTTTTTAAATAGAATAGTTGATATTCCTTTACTGAGATTGACAGTCTTTTCTAATACAACGTAAAAAGATATTTTTGCTAATATTCGCCTTTTTTTTATCAAGGTGTCAAGATTACTATCAATTTTTTAAATAGAATAGTTGATATTCCTTTACTGAGATTGACTTTTCTAATACAACGTAAAAAGATATTTTTGCTAATATTCGCCTTTTTTTTATCAAGGTGTCAAGATTACTTTCAATTTTTTAAATAGAATAGTTGATATTTCTTTACTGAGATTGACTTTTCTAATACAACGTAAAAAAATATTTTTGCTAATGTTCGCCTTTTTTTATCAGACTTTCAAGGTCACCTTCAATTTTTTTAAACGGAATAGTTGACATTTCTTCACTGAGATTGACGGTCTTTTCTAATACAACGTAAAAAGATATTTTTCGCTAATATCTCCAGTAAGTGTGTATTTTAGAGCTTATTTGGTGTAATACTTTTTTACGTAGAATTCGACGCTTTATCCAAATTCGGGAAGAAATGTCAACAATTCCATTAAAAAGACTGAAGGTGACCTTCATACCTTGATAAAAGAACAAAATAACATAAAACTGATTACGAACGCAGAAGCCATGCAACTTCCATCTGAATATTTTTTCGTACAACGAACATTCTATGAGTCATTAATATACACACCCTGTATATACATATATATCTACGCATTTAATACATATATGTATACATACCACAGATTCGCCATCAAGATTTATCATCATTCTTATCTTGTATTTACTCGTACCGCACAAAACATTCCTTACGTAAAACATTCCTTGCGTTCTCTTTCAGCAAAATTCCGAGGGTACGATTACTTTTAAGATAGTACCTGCCGATAGCAAGGGGGGGATCCGGGAGAGCAAGGTACGTTTCTTCAAGAATTTCTCATCTCCTCTTTATAATTGTTTGTTTTTCCCTCTTTAATGTCGTTCGTGACAATTTCATTCGCGAATCAGGTGCGAGTTAGGGCGCACTTTTCCTATAAAGCTTCAGAGGACCCGTACATACCCTGCAAGGAGGCTGGATTAGACTTTTCGAAAGGCGATGTTCTCCATATCGTCAGTCAGGATGACGCTTACTGGTAGGATTGGAATTGCGTTTGTCCGTTCGTTCGTAACGATCGCGATACGATGTTCCAATTGAAACACGTGGCATTTCTTCGATTGAAATCAGGTGGCAGGCTAGGCGAGAGGGTGACCGAAACATGAGAGCCGGCTTGATCCCTAGCAGAGCCTTGCAGGAAAGACGGATTATACTCGAGAGACAGCAAAAGGAGAAGACTGACGACGACAATATAAGTAAGTAGCCGAGTTTGTACAGTTTGACGAATGAAAATCGCAACGTCGAACGTGTCGAATCGTCGATCAATGTCAATGAGATGTGGCGAATGGCGTCTCTCTCGTCTCGTTACATGTACATAATTTCCAATCTCGTTCGTCGTGTTGTTTAAAATTCGACTAGAGAGGATAAACGCGTGACGAGCCACCTGTTAACAGTACGTACACGCGTTTCACAGTCGCGCGAACAATGGAGTAGACAGAGAGAGAAAAAAGAAAAAAAGAAAAAATGGTAGGCTGTGAACGCATGAACGTATAAATATACGTACAAAAGTATAGAGCTTGAAGTTAAATAAGGATCGTGGCGGCCAACGCGGAAACAATCCGTCGTGGACTGGTCTCGGTCTTGCTCTTCTTAACGGATGATGGCCTGACGACCTAACCGTCGGTTAGGCTTGTGTTCTGTTCCAGTGCCTTTGCCCGCATTGTGCCCCCGTCCCAGTACCTCTTTACACGCCTCGCCTACAAAGTGCAACTTGCAGGGAGTAAAAACTAAAAAAATCATGTATGACGCTGCAGAGAACGACGATTTCGACCGGGAAGAAATACCGACCTACGAAGAGGTCGCAAAGCTCTATCCGAGACCGGGCCTCTACCGACCGGTGGTTCTGATCGGGCCACCGGGTGTAGGCAGAAACGAGCTCAAGAGGCGGCTCATGGCCACCGATCCCGATAAGTACAAGACACCTGTCCCTTGTAAGTTTCCCGTGCGTTTTTTTTTTTTTCTCTCGTCATTCACACACGTACATACAACAGTCTGTATACCAGTCTCTCCATTTAATTCAGTTAATTCAAACCGAACGAAACAATCACGCCATCGAATCTCAAGTTCTGTTTCTCTGATCGGGTCTCGTCATTTATCTTCAGATACCTCCAGACCACCGAGACCAGGTGAAATCAACGGCAAAGAGTATCACTTTATTACCCGCGAGAAGATGGAAGAGGACATCGAGGCTGGCATGTTCATCGAATACGGCGAGTACAAGGGGAGCCTGTACGGCACCAGTTGCGAGAGCGTCAGCTCGTTGATAAACGCCGGATACGTGTGTCTGTTGAACCCTCACTATCAAGCCCTGAAGATGCTCCGAACTCCGCAGACGAAACCGTACGTGATATACATCAAGCCGCCGAGGTTCGAGATATTGAAAGAAACGAGAAACGACGCCAGAGCGAGGTCGACTTTCGACGAAAACAACTCTCGAGGTTTCACGGTAAGCGTGTCTTGCGTTCGCGCGCGTATTTTCCTTAAGGGGGCAGGACAGTTTGACGCGCCAAAAAATTATGAACACTTTGGAGGGCTAGTAAAAAAAAAAAAGTACATATTTGATTGACGTGAGCTTTTGTGATTTATTTTACACATTATGAACTATAAAAAACAACAGTAAAAGAGAAAAAAAGAGGGCTCTTATTTAACTTTTTAACGACATCCTTTTACACAACTTTTTTTTTACATTGCCTAACGGTGTGCACGATTCCAGCCAAACAGGTTTAGCTGCAACAAAAGGGCAAGAAAAGTTCAAAAGTAAACAATATTCTCGAGGTATTGACGATCCAACATTTTCATTTTTGTGAAAATTATGAAAATAGCAGCTATTTGTTTTTGATGTATCGTATTTGTGCCAAAAATTTCTACGTCTTTTGTTTATATTTTTCGAAATTGTCAAAAATTAAAAAATGCTCGATCGTCGATCCCGATCGAGTAAATGTTATATTAAAGATACGTACCAAGTTTCACGGTAATCGGTTGGTTAGATTCCGAGATATCTTGCACACCGTTTCTAAAAACCTAGTTTCGTGAAAAACGCGTTTAAAGTTTCAGAACGTCACTTTTCATGTGTATCGTTTACTTACTTTTTTTACTAATATATCGAGGCTCACAGTTCTTACAATTCACAACTAAATTGAATCCAAGTCCCCTAATATTCGATTCACCAAAAGTAATATTTGAATCACACGATTTACACTTTGTAATACTGCTTAAAGTTGTAAACAGTGATGCAAATTGTAATGTATCCGCGGATTTATTATTATACTCGAAAATAAGTCGTTTTAAAAGCTAGGATCTTTTGTATCTTATTTATAAGACTTCAAACTACTATTTAAAACAAAAAAAAAGAAGAAAATCGATTTTTTGAAAATTTCAAACTGTCCCCTTAACCACTTGCGCTGGCGACTGATTGCGGACCATAACGAATGACCAAACCGTCTACAATAATTCGTCGCTTTCCTTTTGAACTCATCGATACGATATCACTGGATAGAAATTATTGAGAAGCAATAAATTTATTATTATATGCAATTTTGCCTGGGTTATACTTAAATATACTTCAAAATGAGAAAAATATTGCAATTTGGGGCTGTTTTAAAGTTTAGGACCTTTCGTATCTTATTTCTGAGACTTCAAACTACTATTTAAAACAGAAACAAAAAAAAAAGAAAATCGATTTTTTAAAAATTTCAAACTGTTTTGATCCCTTGACCATTTGCGCTGGCAACTGATTGCGGACCATAACGAGTGACCAAACCGTCTACAATAATTCGTCGCTTTCCTTTTGAACTCGTCGGTACGATGTCACTGGATAGAAATTATTGAGAAGCAATAAATTTATTATTATATGCAATTTGGAGCTGTTTTAAAATCTAGAACCTTTTGTATCTTATTTCTAAGACTTCAAATTACTATACTATTTAAAACAGAAACAAAAAAAAAAAAAATCGATTTTTTTGAAAATTTCAAGTTGTCCTAACCCCGTAACTCTCGCTTTCAGGACGAAGAGTTTCACGAAATTCTGCACAGCGCTGCAAGAATCGAATTCCTCTACACTCATCTGTTCGACGAGGTGATCGTGAATGCCGACCTCTCCATGGCGTTCGAGCAACTGGTGAACGCTGTTCATCGAGTCGAGTCGGAACCGCTTTGGGTACCCGCCTCGTGGGTTCAATAAACTTTCAAGTTTATCAAGATCGGAACGTTCCGCGGGGAAAGGAAACGTTGCGAGTTGAACGTAGCTACGTACATATTTCCACCACCTTATGATCGCCGGATCGCTTTCCTCCAAATTTCTCAAGCTATGTTTCTTTAGCAAAGCGCGATCCTTTCTCCTTTGGCACACTCCCCTATAGCACTTGAAATTGACGCGTACTATCCGAGGAATAACGTCGACGATGCCTTTCCGCTCCTAGATATTTATGTATTTTATACACGTCGCTATTTTCTGGACTCGACTCATCTTCCTCTCTCTCTCTCTCTCTCTCTTTTCAACATCAATCTTCAAATTATACGTGTGTATAGATGTAAATGTCGGCCGGTAACGCGCAACTGTAAAGGGGATGGTATCAGGAGACAAGCCGTCGATTGTATTTTTGCAGCGATCTCGTTTCTAACCTCATATCGTATACGATGCTTGTTTTTTCTAACGTCGATCGTCGAGTGTATCATCGATGCGTCATTTTTTCAAATTTTTACTGCCACGAATTCGCGGCATCTCGCGACAATGGAGAAAGCGTTGCTGTCCCGCCGGAGGATGTTTCGAATTTGTATGAAAAGAAGTGGAACGGGTGGATGGACCGGGTGTTAAAGTTATTTAAAAAGTGATTTTGGGATCAACGATTATAACGTGACGAGTCGAAGGATTCCTTCTCCGAAGAATTTTGCGACGTGTCGGAAAAGAAAAAAACAGGAGAAAGAAAAACTTTTGAAGCGTTCAGCAATCGTTTACCGCCACTCATGACCTTTGATCCCAATTGTTGTTGATTGTTGCCAAATAATGTATCGTATCTAGAACACGACGAGAGAATCACCTCACCGATTATTGTATTTTCCACCTGATCAGCATTGCCATGATATCGCTATTTTTTTCATGATTATTAAAGGGCTGCCAGCATGAGGAAGATTTATGCACGCTACGCTCTACTGGCGTTGCATCAAATAGCTCATCCTCGATGTAAACTCTGTATGTTATCGAAATATAGCATTACACTTTCAAGATGTCGTCACTTGGTCCTTTGCCCGATATCTCTCGCACGGAAGCCATTCTGCACGCTGACGTAACGAAGAGCTTCACGGAAGGACTTTACGGTTTTGCGTACGTGCGACGAATTTGTCGAGTCAAAGCCAGTACTCTGAGGTAACGAACTCTTTGCTATTTGTCCGATGCAGATAGACGAAGTACGATCTACGCAACGATCGAGATTCACAATCTTCGTTGCATTTTATTCGCGAGTAAAACCGCAAATTATTTTATTTTATTTTTACTTTTATTATTATTTTATATTATTTTTATTTTTCCTACGCGTTTATAATTTTCTATATTAATAAAATTTAACATAATATTTTATATTTATTTTACTTCGTACTTTTTAATATAATATTTAATAATATTTTCTATAACTGCATGCAATTCGTTGCATTTTATTTGCGAGTGAAACAAATTATTTTATTTTATTTTTACTTTTATTATTATTTTATATTATTTTTATTTTTCCTACGCGTTTATAATTTTCTATATTAATAAAATTTAACATAATATTTTATATTTATTTTACTTCGTACTTTTTAATATAATATTTAATAATATTTTCTATAACTGCATGCAATTCGTTGCATTTTATTTGCGAGTAAAACCACCAAATTATTTTATTTTATTTTTATTTTTATTATTATTTTATTATTTTATATTATTTTTCCTACGTGTTTATAATTTTCTACATTAATAAAATTTAACATAATATTTTATATTTATTTTACTTCGTACTTTTTAATATAATATTTAATAATATTTTCTATAACNTTTTTATTATTATTTTATTATTATTTTATATTATTTTTCCTACGTGTTTATAATTTTCTACATTAATAAAATTTAATATAATATTTTATATTTATTTCATTTTGTACTTTTTAATATTATATTTAATAATATTTTCTATAAAATTGCATTGTAACGTCGCATGCAAGCTATCTTTAGTCCGAATTGTTTTTCTCGTTTATTTTGGTTTCAAAGGGGTATTCTGGCAATCCCGCTTAAAAAAATCAATTTCTTTTTTCCACATTCTCTCAAAGTATGTGCTTTCGAAAATGTCTATATACAAGGATTTGTTTGAATTCGTAAAATTAGCAAAGTTACAGATGTTTAAAGGGAACGGTGTACTGCTCGTAACGTAAGTATGAATATTTTTGTACAACGGGTAACAAAAGCTTCAAATGTGTTTTTCTCAAAAAATATTTTATTTACAACATTATTATTTATTTTTATATTATTATTATTTTATAATATTTTATTTTCTGTACTGCTCGATTGATTGTGAGTATGAATATTTTTGTACAACGGGTAACAAAAGCTTCAAATGTGTTTTTCTCAAAAAATATTTTATTTACAACATTATTATTTATTTTTATATTATTATTATTTTATAATATTTTATTTTCTGTACTGCTCGATTGATTGTGAGTATGAATATTTTTGTACAACGGGTAACAAAAACTTCAAACGTGTTTTTCTCAAATCCATATTTTTTAAACTGGTTTTAGTTGAACCGATTGACTTGAAATTTGGAGGAGATCTTCACCGGAGTGTCCTTTATCGCATAAACCTCGGATTTCAAAATCTGATGTTCTTTTTTATTTTTTTTTTTTTTTTTACCACCCAAAAGACGAAAAGTACAAGGAAAATCGATATTTTAACTTCAAAATGCTGCCATTTTTTTCAATTTTCGAAATTTCGCTGTTTCCGTGGTTCATGCGATGGCCATATTTATACTAACTAAGATGCACTTTGGTTTTGTTAGTTTCAAATAATCAGGCGGAAGTCACGTCAGTCATTCGAACCCGTTTTTAAAAAACGCGCTTTACCTAAGGCTATATAATTTTCACAACTTTCCATTAATTTCGTTAAAAAAAAATTGTAAATACTGTTCAAGTATGAATAAATCCGTGTGCGAAAACTGCATACCAAAATGTATCCTGGTTCTCTTAGAAAAAAGTCCCAAAGAAGTCCAGAGTACCCGCTTGATCTAAGAAATCAGTTCGACCAAACATTTTCAACTCCGACACTCGAAGAACACGTGAATTCGATTTACGTGTTACTAATTAAACGTTTATAATTAAATTCATAAAACGGTGTGTTTGAAAATGTGTGTATATGTGTGCGTGTATATCCAAGATCGAACCAGAAAGCATTGGTTGCGGAATTAATATATCCGCGTCTAACACGTAACGCTCTCCGCGATAGCCCGTATTAGCCAAACAGCTAATATACAGGCCGTTGCAAACACTATTTTTGGGAGTGTCGGTTTTCTAATTGAACTTGAATCATCGGAGGTTCCGAGCACGTGCATCGGAATTGGCCGCAAAGCGCGTTGCCTGCCTTTACGAAAATAGAACCAACGACAGACTGGCCTACGAGCATGCTCGAGTGAACTCCTCTTTGTTTCACCTTGGTCAGTGACGCTTGGGGATAGCGGCTAATTAGTAAGAGACAAGAGACAAAATTCGACGAAAATTATTCGGTGATAAACATACGTGACTTTTCGTTGACCATGCGACCATGCCGTGGAGTAACCGAGCCTGGCCTAAATCCGCGGCTGCGCGAATCAAAGAGCGCTCCCAAGAGTGGCCGAACACGACAGCCGCGATAGTTTCAGGGAAAGGGTGACGAATTAAACATTGGCCCAGTGTTCAATCAATGTCCTTACTTGGGCGCCGACAGATCAGCTTTGAAAGGGTGAAGAATTAGGGTTGAAGGGTTGCTCCTGGTCGGATTAATGGCGCCGTTTCTGCCGCACTTTCGTACACGCGACCGACCGCGTTGTTATCACTTTCAATAAATTTTTTCCCAGAAAAAAAAACCGGACGAAATTTAATAGTGTCGTGGACAAGATTGCCTATGTATTACCTATATCGTCGATCAAGCGGCACAAATGAATACAGGTAGGTGGACATTTTCTTTTATGGATATTTTCGACCAAGTCGAGTGATATTCGACAGGCGAATAAGTATGTAAAAAAAGAGAGAAGAAAATATAAAATGTGCGCAAATTGATATTTCCCTGTTGCACTCTATGGTCGTAAGAAAGTTTTCGAACCGTTGAAGTTGGACGTTTGGAAAATTTTGCGGAGGATTTTGCTTTACTTAAAAGAACTGTCCGAGCCCCGGAATAGTCTAGTTTATTTGCAGCGGCTCGCCACGAATTATTAAAGAGGCCGTTAACGAACCACGGTCGTGATATTAAGAGACAAATTTACGGATCCGCAGCGTCGGTTCGACGTCGACCTCGTTTAAAATTAAACCGAAGCCGGTCAGTATGGAAAAGAACGTCCTCTTACGTAGACGCGAAAACCGATCCACGTAATCGAGACGTTCGCAAGAGATTCGTCAGCGAGGTTATTATCGTCCCCCCTAAAATGTGTCAATGACACGGTCAATCGCACGTGAATTATCAACGAAAACGCGATTATAATTTCTGATGAGGTCGCGTGCACGTTATCGGCCTTCGTCGGGTTTGTCGCGCTGCTCCTATGAATTTTCATTAATCGCGCGCGTTCTGCACGAGTACACGTTTCGAACGAAGCACTGCATCCTCGTGAGAACCCTCGTTTTGAAAATTTCGATCGTTTTGCGGAGAATCTTCATCGATCGCTTCGACACAAAGAGCCACGTTTTTATTTTATCATTATTATGGATTTTAGTATTTTAATTTTGCCTTCTGATTCGTGTTATTAATTCTTTGCCCTTGAAAACGGGTTTTCAAATAATGCTGTTTAAATGACATTTGAGCACGAAATTTTGTCGATTGCGTTCTTCTGTTCAAAGCAATCATTAAGTATAATATGTAACAGTTAATTTCAATCTTTTCAAAAATTTCCTACGCCATTTTACAAACTTTCGCAAGAAGTAACAAGAAGTTTAGTTTATCCGAATAATAATTCAACGATAATGAATATCGACTTCCTTTACTCTGAAATTTCTTCTTTTTGAAATAAAGATCGTTTCCGTTTTGCGCAGAATCTTCATCGATCGCTTCGACACAAAGAGCCACATTTTTATTTTATCATTATTATGGATTTTAGTATTTTAATTTTGCCTTCTGATTCGTGTTATTAATTCTTTGCCCAGAAAACGGGTTTTCAAATAATGCTGTTTAAATGACATTTGAGCACGAAATTTTGTCGATTGCGTTCTTCTGTTCAAAGCAATCATTAAGTATAATATGTAAAAGTTAATTTCAATCTTTTCAAAAATTTCCTACGCCATTTTACAAACTTTCTCAAGAAGTTAAACTTAACAAGAAGTTTAGTTTATCCGAATAATAATTCAACGATAATGAATGTCGACTTCTTTTACTCTCAAATTTCTTCTTTTTGAAATAAAGATCGTCGTCGATCGTTTCCGTTCTGCGCAGAATCTTCATCGATCGCTTCGACACAAAGAGCCACGTTTTTATTTTATCATTATTATGAATTCTAGTATTTTAAGCATTTGCCTTCTGATTCGTGGTACGAACATTGTTAACTCTTTGCCCTTGAAAACGATTTTTCAAATAATGCTGTTTAAATGACATTTGAGCACGAAATTTGGTCGATTGCGTTCTTCTGTTCAAAACAATCATTAAGTGTAATATGTAAAAGTTAATGATACGTAATTTCTATCTTTTAAAAAATTTCCTACGCCATTTTATAAACTTTCGTAAGAAGTAACGAGAAGTTTAGTTTATCCGAATTATGGCGAATCAATCGAACAATAATTCTACGATAATAAGTATCAACTGCCTCTATCCTCGAATTTCATCTCTTTGAAATTTTATTATTTCTACCCACCCTACTCTATTTATATCTACACAATACCTACATAATTTCATTATCAGCAATTACAAAAAATTTTACAATTCTAGCAATTAGCTAAACAAAAGTCTCCTTAGTCGAGAATGCAAAGAATTAACAAAGAGGTCGGACGTGGGAAAAGTTTCGTAATCTAGTGGTAGTTGATGCGAATTATGGCGAATCGAATAATAATTCTACGATAATAAGTATCAACTGCCTCTATCCTCGAATTTCATCTCTTTGAAATTTTATTATTTCTACCCACCCTACTCTATTTATATCTACACAATACCTACATAATTTCATTATCAGCAATTACAAAAAATTTTACAATTCTAGCAATTAGCTAAACAAAAGTCTCCTTAGTCGAGAATGCAAAGAATTAACAAAGAGGTCGGACGTGGGAAAAGTTTCGTAATCTAGTGGTAGTTGATGCGAATTATGGCGAATCGAATAATAATTCTACGATAATAAGTATCAACTGCCTCTATCCTCAAATTTCATCTCTTTGAAATTTTATTATTTCTACCTACTCTATTTATATCTATTATTTCTACCTACTCTATTTATATCTACACAATACCTATATAATTTCATTATCAGCAATTACAAAAAATTTTACAATTCTAGCAATTAGCTAAACAAAAGTCGAGAATGCAAAGAATTAACAAAGAGGTCGGACGTGGGAAAAGTTTCGTAATCTAGTGGTAGTTTATGCGACTTATGGCGAATCGAATAATAATTCTACGATAATAAGTATCAACTGCTTCTATCCTCGAATTTCATCTCTTTGAAATTTTATTATTTCTACCTACTCTATTTATATCTATTATTTCTACCTACTCTATTTATATCCACACAATACCTATATAATTTCATTATCAGCAATTACAAAAAATTTTACAATTCTAGCCATTAGCTAAATATAAGCATCTATAGTCGAGAGTGCAAAGAGTTAACAGATAGGTCGAATCTTACACATTTGCCGAAATAGCTCGATAGGCGCCATACGCGCTCTTTCAAACGCGGCAATGATTTTGTAAAATCGATAAACAGCCCCGGAGTTGAAAGGAAGTTTCTCGGGGCACGGCACAATCGATAGATTCTCGGCGTGCATAGAGGAGAATTCAAAATATTGGCTTAACGCCAGGAACAACGGCGACTAACGACGATAAGACTGGTCGGGTAAATGTAACACCGCCAAAATAAGCACGCGCCGCGCTAGCAAAAAGACGAGTGTGCACGACCGCCGAAAGTTCGCTCAACCAAGATCATCGTCTCTCGCTCACCGACACGTACCGAAATACGTGAAAATCACGAATTCCTCGGTTGCGCAAACCTCGGAAGAGAGACGAAATTAACTTGACACGGACTCGGGGCTCGGTCAAACGATATTTCCCTTTCGTTTATCAGTTCTCGCTCGCAACGATCGGGGCAACATGTTACCCGGGGACCGAGACGATCGATCGACTTGACGTCTCGTTATCGATAACATACGGTGTGTCGCGGATGGTGTCCACGTCGACGATGACGAAGAATCGGGAAAACAAGTTGCCAACGTTGAACGACCAGCTCTACTACGGGAGAATTTCTCTGTCCAGTGGGATAAAGTGCCGTAACGTCCAAGACGCCATGTATCAGCGTGCCTCCAATCGAGTAAGCGTTTCTCGTTTCGTCTTTCACCTACATTTCCATGCATGTATTCGAGTGCAAGCACGTACGGCCGCGTAACGTTCGACCGTCTTCTCGAAAATCGATTAATTTACGATTCAGTAATTGTTCGTGAAACGATCGTTTTACGCTCGAACGCCAGCAGTCAGTTGCGCAGCAGAATTTTCCCGAGACGATTTATTACGCGTGTTTCGAAGACGTTTATAGCTTACGCGAAAAGCGAAAATACCGAGGGCGAACGCTCCCGTTGCTCCGGGAGACCACCAGTTGGTCGATCGAGAGGAGGAAAAAAATATAAAGAAAGAAACATGGAGAGAAGAAAAGACGGGGGTCGCCAGGGTGGCCAGAGGCGACAGGTCGAGCCAACGCGGAGAGAAACAAACGCGTACACACGTTGCCCCGGCAGATCCTCCATTCTTTCGACGATGCGCGCGTGTACATAAGCGTCGAACGAGCCACAACCGAACCGACTTAACCGACATATAAATAGCGTTTAGTTGAAACGGACGCGGTAGAACACGCGTGCACGTCTCTACGAGCCGATCCGGAAGGCACGACTCGCTTTTCAAGGAACTTCTCCTACTCCGAACGCCGGGAGACGCCTTGGTGGCGTGCGGGAGTGTCTGTTGATCCGCGTACGCCGTCAGTGATTTCCGAGAGTTTCCGCGGGAACCATCGATTTTCAACGCGCCGACTCGCTCTCCTCATTTCCTCCGCAATCGTCGATTCAAAGTTTCTCCATTTCTCTCTAGTAAGTAAGCCTCTCGATAAGTAAGCCTTTCGTCGGTGTCTTTGACATTTCAAAAGCCACCCTCGCCCCTCTAAGAGATTCTTCGTAGAGTTTTAACCTGTATTTGATTTGAACTCAATTTAAATCCGCGTGTATAAAGAAAAGATATCGGCACCTTCGTACGTGCTTGCGCACTATGCACGCCACTTTAATTAACTTCTTGCGCTGGAATGAACGTGCCACGAACGTCGAGAATTTTTTTGCTGCAAAATTGTAATATTTTCTCAGTTTTAAATTATATTTAAAGTAAAACAAATGATAAATTTATTACTTCTCAATAATCTCTATCCAGTGATGTCGTACCGAGTTCAAAAAGAAAGCGACAAATTGTTGTGTACGGTTCGGTCACACGTTACGGTCCGCAATTAGTTGCCAGCGCATGAGATTAACCTCTTGCACTGGAATGACGTGCCACGAATATTGAGAATTTTTTGTTGCAAAATTGTAATATTTTCTCGGTTTTAAATTATATTTAAAGTAAAACAAATGATAAATTTATTACTTCTCAATAATTTCTATCCAGTGATGTCATACCGAGTTCAAAAAGAAAGCGACAAATTGTTGTGTACGGTTCGGTCACTCGTTACGGTCCGCAATTAGTTGCCAGCGCATGAGATTAACCTCTTGCACTGGAATGACGTACCACGCATACTGAGAATTTTTTTGTTGCAAAATTGTAATATTTTCTCGGTTTTATTTAAATATATTTAAATAAAACAAAATAGACGAAATAAGTAATAAATTTATTACTTCTCAATAATTTCTATCCAGTGATATCATACCGACGAGTTCAAAAAGAAATCGACGAATTATTGTGTACGGTTTGGTTACTCGATGATCTGCAATTAATTGCCAGCGTAACAGGTTAACCTCTTGCACTGGAATGACGTGCCACGCATATTGAGTATTTTTTTGTAATATTTTCTCAGTTTTAAATATATTTAAAGTAAAACAAAATGGGCAAAACAAATAATATTATTACTTCTCAATAATTTCTATCTAATGATATCATACCGACGAGTTCAAAAAGAAAGCCAAAAATTGTTGGGTACGGTTCGGTCACTCGTTATGGTCCGCAATCAATCGCCAGTGCAAGTAGTTAACCTCTTGCACTGGAATGACGTGCCACGCATATTGAGAATTTTTTTGTTCCAAAATTGTAATATTTTCTCAGTTTTAAATATATTTAAAGTAAATCAAAATAAGCAAAACAAATAATAAATTATTACTTTTCAATAATTTCTATCCAGTGATATCGACGAGTTTAAAAAGAAAGCGACGAATTGTTGCGTACGGTTCGGTCACTCGTTATGGTCCGCAATCAGTCGCCAGCGCAAGCGGTTAACTTTTCTCTTCTACCTGCCTGCCCTTGAACCGTGAATCTAACGCACGCGTTTCCCAACGCGTTTCCCAACGCGTTTCTACTTTTTTTCACTCGCTGCATGCCGAGAACGACGTTTGCACAGGCTAACAGTAAGTAGATGGGACTCTCTTTTAATATGCACAAGTGATGGAAACAGGAGGGCCGATTGGAGGAAGATAACCGGCAGGTAAACGGGGCGCGGGCTACGCTAAGGCTAAGGTGCAATTCTCTGGCGACAAAGGGCAACAACTGCCCTGTCAACAATACCAGCATCGTCGCGTCCAGGGGGGAGCTTGCTCGAAGTAACTGCGCGGCCAGAGAGACGCCGGCGCCGTCCACCGTTTACAAGACAGCCGTGAACGCGAATGGTACTCGCGCCAAATTTCACCACCATTTCCCCAAACAACAGTCCTCCAACGAAGTCGTAGCATCCGTGGATCGCGACAAGTCTCAGCGGCCTATTCGCAAGTCATTCTCCGTGCCCGATTATCTCCGAGACAGTACGTACATAAATACCTGCAATTACACGTTCGTTGTTCCCTCGTTGCGAAACGAATCTCGAAATAGACGATTCGAAAAGGGAACGGCGGCACGCGTTTACCGATTTTCTTTTTCCAGCTGGCTCGTCGTCAAGAAACTGAAAACACTTGGCGTTTGAAACGAACACTACTAGAGAGAATGACTTTTCAGGTTTCTCGACGACGCGGAAGATCGATCGGAAAACGACCGATGAAGGTATTTTGAAGAGATCGTCCGCTTTTCTGTCGAGTCTCACCCACTCTGCCGCTAGAATCCGTGCGAGCAAGCTAGACGAAAGCCGCTCGGAGGACAGTTACTGCAACGAGAACACCTGTTCGATCAGGCATTCGCCGCTGAGGGGATACCTTTCGATCTTGAGCAGGGTGACGAACGATCTTGAGCCGTTTCGACGAGCTCGTTCGTCGAGCGTTCAAACGTTGCCGGTCGAACGGCGTAGGAGAAGCGGCGCTCGCGTGAAGAAATCCGTGTCGTTCAGTTCGGACACGAGTTTCGAGGAGAAACGCCTGCCTTACAGAAGAGTGGCCGCCGTTCACGAGGTCAAAGTCTATCACAAGGGTGTTTTGCAAGGTATTTACTATTTTCTTTTCTCTCATTCGGATTCTCTCGTTCGCATCTGAAACCGAAAAACACAGACGCAACTCGTCAATTTTGCACTCTTTCTGGTGCCTGCACGCTTTGGGCATCGCTCTTGTTTTCTTTGGAAATCCGTCAAGAAGAATATGCACGAACGCATATACGAACGGACTGAATAAACGAACGGGGGGAGAAAATAGAAGTCGAATAACACGACGCGTTGAAAGCGGGCGACTAAAACGAACACAACGGTAGAATCATCGATTATCGAGAGAGGCACACCACCCACGTAAATAATTACTCTCCGTAGAATGACTCTCTGTAGAATTGTTCTCCGTTCAATGCTAATTTTCGCTAAAACCAATCTTCTTGTGTTACCAATACATATATCCAGTGTTATAATTGATTAGAAAGATAAATATGTCTGTCACGTAAACGTAAACTATCGAGCCAACGAAGGCTACCTGGACAGCCTGTTTGTTGCTTCTCTATCTTATTTCTCTCCCTTCCCCCCCCCACTTTTACTTCTGCATCTTGAAAAATTTGTCATGACAGACGTAAAACACTCGGTTGATTGCGTAGATCGTGGCGTGCACGAGGCGGACACCGCGGGAAAAGTGCCGTCCTCGTGGCAAGCGACCTCCGAGGGCGCATCGGCCCTTCTCAGGGCAGCCAGAGATGCCGACGACACTGCCCTCGAGCAAATTGCTGCCCACGTGCGAAAATTCGGCCTCGCCGACATGGACGTCAATATCGCTGACAGCAGCGGCAGGGTAAGTCATCGTTAATCACGTTGGTTACGTGGCTTTTCACTAGAAGCGATTGATTTCGATTAGAAAATTATTATTATTAACATTGGAAATTATTATTATTATTGAACAAATTACAAAAATACAAAACACCGTATCTGTCAACTTTTTTTAATCTAGTACCTATAGACAATTGCTATTTTGCTGGAAATTCGTCGTGTATAAAATACTGTATTTGTCACTGTTTTTTAATACTTGACTCACTAAAAATATTTGATTTTTTAATCAGGTACCTATAGACAATTATCATTTTGCTGGAAACTAGTCGTGTACAAAAAATGCAAAATATTATATCTTTCACTGTTTTTTAATGTAAAATACTTTACTAAAAATATTTGATTTTTTAATTTAGCACCTATAGACAGTTACTATTTTGCTAGTCGTGTACAAAAAATACAAAAATGTATCTGTCATCTTTTTTTAATCTAAAATACTTGATTCGCTAAAAATACTTGATTTTAATCAGAAAATTATTAGTGAAAAAATTACAAAAGTACAAAACACCGTATCTGTCACCTTTTTTTAATCTAGTACCTATAGACAATTGCTATTCTGCTGGAAATTAGTCGTGTACAAAAAGTACAAAATACTGTATCTGTCACCTTTTTTAAATCTAAAATATTTGACTCGCTAAAAATACTTGATTTTAATCAGAAAATTATTAGTGAAAAAATTACAAAAGTACAAAACACCGTATCTGTCACCTTTTAATTTAATCTAGTACCTATAGACAATTACTATTCTGCTGGAAATTAGTGGTGTACAAAAAATACAAAATAATCTATCACCTTTTTTTAATCTAGTACCTATAGACAATTGCTATTCTGTTGGAAATTAGTGGTGTACAAAAAATACAAAATAATGTATCTGTCACCTTTTTTTTTCGTCTAAAATACTTGATTTTAATCAGAAAATTATTAATGGAAAAATTACAAAAATACAAAAATACAAAACACCGTATCTGCCATCCTTTTCTAATCTAAACAACTGCCACTTTGCTGGTAACATCAGCAAACAGATAACGCAATCTGATAACGTACAATTAAGTAACCGCATTTTTTCGCACATGTCAATTTACGCTTCTGTCATCTGTACGTACGCGTATCATTGGAGCTTTACTACCGGCAGTAACAATGTATTTGCAGAAGCGCGATAAAGGTTTGGAACTTTGTTATCTCGGTAGAGATATACAACAGCTACTTATGCTCGTTAGGCGTGTATGCATACAAATTGTTTCAAAGTCGCGGGAAAAGAAATCGTTTCTTTCACTGGATGTGCGAAATTTAAAAAGAAACGATTGTCACTGACAATATCCTCGTATCATCCTACTTCGTATATACATAAGTATACCGTGCTAATAACCATAACTGCAGCTTGACGTTCTCGGAGTTTATGCATCTGAACTTTTGAACCCTGAAATTATCGTTTGCATTATACGTACGTTCGAGATCCGTAGCAAAACGAGAATAAAACATTTCTTTCTTCCTGAATCTAATTTATTCGTTAACATTAACACATCGTTAACGTCATCTCTCGTTGACGATACTTTGAAATTTAAATTCTCGCGTGTTTCGACACGTGCAACTTTCTACCGACGTGATCGCCACATCACCGCTAAATCTGCCATTGTTTTTAGAGAAACTTTTACTTCCTCGAGGAACGTCGAACGTTCTCATCAATTCTTTGCACGAAGAAAAGAAAGGAAAGGAAAGAAAGAAAAAAACAAGTACGAGTGATCTGCTGACGCGTGTTTGCCATGATGACGCACATAAAGTAATAGCATTTGAACTATCGCGTCAACGTGGTCGCAGTAACCACTTAATAAATTGATTTTTATCGCACAGTCCTTTGTGCGTCTCTCCTTCCGAGAGAAGCAAAGAATAGTCTAGAGTAGGACAGCCTGGCTAGGACAAACCTCTTTTCAACTTTCAACCGGCGTTCGCCCGCGTTTTATTTCCATTTCATTTTCTTGAGGCCGACGAGAACAGCTCCGCGATGCTGTTTCTAACGACGTTGAATACGCATTTGTGTACGTGACACGGCGGAAAACGGAAAGTGGTATCGACGAGAGCATACAGAGAGCGACGTAGAGGAAACGAATGAAAAGTATTGTGAGGGGAACACGAGACGAGTTCTCGACCGGCGTGGAAAATTTAAATAACTCTTCGGTTCGAGACAGAGTTTTATATGTACAGCGTGTCCATAAAGTCTTTTTGCAATTTCAACAATTGATTACAAAGGCAAGTGAAATGACAGATAAGTGGAAGTTATTACAAAATGAGACGTATGTATTCAAGTTTTTTTTTCTTTTTTTGCCTCATTTACACCTCTACATGGGTATCATTAGTTGCACGAAGCACATCAAGACGATACTCGATTTCTTGCACGATCGATGTTTTCCTCGGATGTTCTTGGTCGTTCACTCCTCCTTTTATCGGACACTGTCCCTGTCTCCATAAATTCCTTGTGCCATGCACGAATATGACGAACGTGACGACAGATCTCTTCCATACTTAGTTAGTTCTGAAGTTTCGCCGAGTCTGCAGATCCGATTTGGTTTCAATAAACGATGATACACATTGTGCTTTCTCTAGTCATTTTGTAAGGGTAATCAATTAACAGTATCTTATTCGTCAACAGGGTACGTGAAATACAGTGTGACAAAAACCTTGATAACCACTGAGTACACAGAACAAATCTGACGAAGATGTCTCATCAATTGCCTTTGTAATAAATTTTTGAAATTGTAAAGAGACTTTATAGACCACCATGTGGTTATGTTAAGATATCGTGTATCGAACAAAGGGACATTACTAATCTAAAGCAAAAGATCACTGATGCCATTGGGTATGCTACAGCGAACATGGAGTACCGTCTTGATGTGCTTCGTGAAACTAATAATGCCCATACAGAGGTGTATTAAATGAGGCAAAAAGCACTTGAATATATACGTCTCATTTTGTAATAATTTCCACTTATCTGTCTTTTCACTTGCCTTTGTAATAAATTTTTGAAATTGCAAAGAGACTTGCATAGTTTCAACCAAGTTTTACATACAACCGGACTTTTGTGCCAGCCTTCGAATATAACTAGACATTTCGATTGTTTATGCACGATGCCAGACCGCCATCAGCTACATGGCTGGGAATGGTGCCTCGACGATGCTGGAACTAGCTCTGTCGTACGACAGGGTGGACCCGAACGTTCCCGACAACGAAGGCAACACGCCTCTGCATTTTGCCGCGCAGGCTGGTAAGTGATGATTTAAAAGAAAGTGTTAATTTAAAAAAAAAAAAAAGAGAAAAAAAAATGAAAGAAGGTAAATATGCTGACGAGTTATATATACCAGTTTCTCGTTGCGGTTCTGCGCGTGCTGGAAAACGCAAATCGTTCGAAAGAAGGTTTCTTCGATCAAAATAAAATTTGTTGCTCCGAAGTTGCTCTTTCAAGGACAGACTTCCATCTCTGCCCCGTACAACCGTGTCGTGCGTAATCGGAAGAATGCGGCCACGCGGTGGGCATAAATTTTGTAAATACAACAGTTCTCGCATCGTTAGAAAAAACCTCGGGTCATATCGGACAGACAACTATACCCATAGTATAGTTATAACACACACGTATGTGCATACAATAACGTCAAGAAGCGGACGTCAAATTTTATACTCGTGATGTGCCGCAAGGCGCAAGGATCCCAGTCGCGTCATCGGCGCCAGAAATAAATGATACGTTAGAGTACTTACTTGAAACTTGCTGGCGCGTGGTTTTGCAGAGTGACGTAGGACGTTTCAAGCCAAAACACTGTCGAACGTTACTGTTCCGATTCCGCGAAGTTTCACGACGTTTGTTCCGTTCTCGATTCAAGGGGGCAGGACAGTTTGACGAGCCTAAAAATTACGAATAGTTCGGAGAACTAGTAGAAAAAAAAGTATATAGTTGATTGACAGGAGCTTTTATGATTTATTTTAACATATTATGAACTATAAAAAGCAACATTAAAAGAGAAAAAAAGAGGTCTACTTCACATTTTTAACGGAACTTTTCTACATTGCCTAACGGTGTGTATGATTCCAGCCAAACAGGATTAGCTGCAATAAAAAGGCAAAATAGTTCAAAAGTAAACAATATTCTCTGGGGATTGACGATCCAACATTTTCATTTCTGTGAAAATTATGAAAATAGCAGCTATTATTTTGATGTATCGAATTTGTGCCAAAAATTTCTACGTTTTTTGTTTATATTTTTCGAAATTGTTAAAAATTAAAAAATGTTCGATTGTCAATCCCTATTAAATGTTACAATAAAGAAAAGTTTCACAGTAATCGGTTCGTTGGATTCCGAGATATCTTGCACACCGTTTCTCAAAACCTAGTTTCGAGAGAAACGCGTTTAAAGTTTCAGAATGTCATTTTTCATATGTATCCTTTACTTACTTTTTTTACTTATATCTCACAGTTTTTACAATTCACAACTAAACTGAATCCAAGTCCCCTAATAGTCGATTCACCAAAAGTAATATTTGAATCACACGATTTACACTTTGTAATACTGCTTAAAGTTGTAAACAGTGATACAGATTCAATTATTCTCTATCCGCGGATTTATTATTATACCTCAAAATAAGTCGTCTTAAAAGCTAGGATCTTTTGTATCTTATTTCTAAGACTTTAAACTACTATTTAAAACAAAAAAAAAAAAGAAAATTGATTTTTTGAGAATTTCAAACTGTCCTGATCCGTTAACCACTTGCGCTGGCAACTGATTGCGGACCATAACGAGTGACCAAACCGTCTACAATAATTCGTCGCTTTCCTTTTGTATTCGTCGGTACATCACTGGATAGAAATTATTGAAAAATAATAAATTCATTATTATATGCAATTTTGCCTGAGTTGTACTTAAATATACTTCAAACTGAGAAAAATATTGCAATTTCGGGCTGTTTTAAAGTCTAGGACCTTTTGTATCTTATTTATAAGACTTCAAACTACTATTTCAAACAAAAAAAAAAAAGAAAATTGATTTTTTGAGAATTTCAAACTGTCCTGATCCCTTAACCACTTGCGCTGGCAACTGATTGCGGACCATAACGAGTGACCAAACCGTCTACAATAATTCGTCGCTTTCCTTTTGTATTCGTCGGTACATCACTGGATAGAAATTATTGAGGAGTAATAAATTCATTATTATATGCAATTTTGCCTGGATTATACTTAAATATACTTCAAAATATTGCAATTTTGGGCTGTTTTAAAGTCTAGGACCTTTTGTATCTTATTTCTAAGACTTCAAACTACTATTTAAAAAACAAAAAAAAAAAAAATCGATTTTTCGAAAATTTCAAACTGTCCTGACCCCTTAACTGGGCCGTCTCGTTCCGTTCGATCCAGGGCAAACGGAGTGTCTGAACATACTGCTTCAAAGATGCCCGGACATCCAAGTGGACGCGAGAAACGCATCGGGCTTCACTCCGTTGATGAAGGCAGCCCTCCAAGGAAGAACCAAATGTGCCAAAATTCTGTTATTCGCCGGTGAGCGGAAAGTCTTTTCATTCTTCTCTTATGTTTCTTGCAAAAAGCACAGTACCAGCTCGTGTCTGGAAAAAAGGTTGGGAAGCGTAAGTGTACGAACTTTGGTTTCTAGGCGCGAATCCGACGCTGAGAGATCACGGGAGAGGACTGAGGGCCGAACAGTGGGCCAGATTTTGCGGAAGATACGTGTGCGCCGAAGTGATCGAGAGGTTCGCCAGACATCGACTTCTGGAAAGATCGACTTCTTGCCGCTGGGGTAGCGAACCCGAACTGGCAGCAAAAGTACTTCAGGGAAAGGTAATTGTGCCTTTGACGAGGTATCACATTGTCGGCCGTCGTCGCGAAAATTTGCACTTTGCATCACTACTTTCGCAAGACGTACGAAAAAAAAAAAAAAGAAATTCTGATTTCAGAATCTCCAATTCGATGTTCGTATTCTGAAAACTGTTTCGTTGCTTGCAAGATGAACCACTTGGTTAATGACATGGCATTTATTTTTTAGAAAGAAACCCGTTTTCGCAAAAACCTGAAATTCACTGCAGATTCACATTAAATTGTCTGTACGCGAGAAATCTGCAATTTGACAAGCTAAATTTTATTGACAAATATAATGTAATTACGGTAGCCCCCATAAATAGTTCTTTTTCAATGTGACAAAAGAATATTTTGTTCTTTCTGTCTTATTAAACAAGTATGTATTTAACAAAGGAATATTCTTCCTATTGCAATATAATTAAACAATATCCGTATAATTAAACAACTTTCTGTTTTTATCAATAAAAGATCTTTTGTACTTGATGATGTTTCAGCAGAAAATCTAGCTCTTACTTTACTTTCATTTTTCGTAATTGTACGAATTGTCGATTCATTTCTGTGAAATTTCTTGCAAAAGAGATGTTAACCTATCACCAGATTTCAACCGATCAAGAATTTCATCCAATTTTTCTTCCAACAATATAAATCTTCTACTCTGCTTATCTTTTCCAAAGATCCTGGGAGTCATGGCTGGAAAATATTATTTCTTACTTCCGACATTAAATCTAGTGGAAAAAAAGATTGCCTTACCTTATACTCGATTAGTATCTACTTTGCAATTGAAATGAATTCCTTTTTGAAATAACACAACTAATTCTGCACGGAAATAACTGTTCCGCGATACACACTTTAAACAATCCCTTCTTATCGCAAGAGTTAATGCAAATCTGTGCTTCGAGTTATTCAAGGACGCGCATATTTTCATATCAGAAATGAGTCTTTTTCAGTGGCGCAATTTTTAGTCCTTCTGTACTCATTATTCTGCGAATGACTGCGCAGTAAAATCTGTCTTACGCAGCGGCAATTGCGATGAGAAAAATATGCGGTCGTCGAAGCGATAATGGCAGTGCCACAGAGAATAATGAAAAGTGTTGGATAATGCACAGGTGATGCCTGTTCCGACCGCACCTCTGTCGCCGCCATCTTCCGGGCTCAAGTCGAAGATAAGGAAAGTTTTTCGCACCACGTCCGGGCCAGATCGAAGCTTCTCCTTGGTCTCTCAATTAACCAGCGCTGCCCTTTGCGCAAGCAGTCCGGCACTACCAAAATCCAGCGACGTTCCTCCCGTGGTTAAAAGCCTTCTCCGACCTTTGAGCGTTCCACAGTTAAGGTAAAGCTTTCGCTCTTTTTTGCGTTTATACCAAACAGCCGATCCTCATTTTGTTGATTCTTCTGTTCCTTTCGATTCTTTCCAGAGTGACTCTGGTTTCGCCGCAAGATTTTCTTGAGCAATCGAAGGACAAGTACGCGCCAAATTTCACGGAGAAGATCGAGAATACGGTAGGAAAGCCATCGCGGTCGAAGAACAAAAACAAATAAAAACGACGAGTCACGTTCAGCGATTCATCCGCCGACTATTCGGTTCGGATACACAGTTCCTACCAAACGATCCTCGTTCAAGTACTATTGATATACTAAAAATCTTGTACGGTCATTCTTTTTTCTAGTCGATCGAAATTTAACAAACTTTTCAACCTCGTATTCTATTCCACGCAACGATGAAATTTATTTTTGCTCTACGATTTTGGTAAATATCGCCAGAGGTTAGACTGTACAGATAGACAAGTTTCTCCAACTGAACGTCAACGGATCAACAAGAGTTATCGTTATTCATCGAATCGATGAGATAATTTTTCAATGCTTCGTGAAATAATCATTCACCAAGTGAGCGACGAAAACGATTTTTCAACTTACAAATACCTATTGAAAATCATAAACTGACATTTTTTTAAATTATATTGACCGCCGAACAAACTTATAAATAAATATCTTAGTAAAACTGTCGTATATTATTTGTAAGACGGTTGCTAGCTATTAAAGGCGAAAGCAATCTTTCTTCTTCGGGGCGAGCCAGAACCATACTCTGACAAGGACATTACCACATGTACTTACATGTTTATATATTATACAGTACTCGTAGCAAATACGTACAAAGGTAAAATTTCTATGTGTACATGAAACTTTGCACGTACTTACTCACACCTGCGTCGAGCACTCGAACGTGAGCGTAATGCGTAAATTTTACAACTCGGATAATATTGCCTTCAACAAAAGTGCATACTGTTGTAACAAGAGACAACGAGGTATAACGAACTGCTTCGCAACGCAGGTTTCTATCGTTAATAAAGTTCGTACTTTGCTGTTGAAGAACTGTAAGAAATATATTTTTTAGAATAAACATTAACGAGGCGGCGGAAACTTTGTCTCAATACAGATACAACCAGTTTAATCGCTAGTTTTCGAAATATCAAAACATCAGACTGTCGTGATAATTTCAGTTGATATAAAATTGTCGACTTATCCGATTCAACTTGAAAAGTTAATGCATACAGTTATACAGGTCAGGTTTCAAATTTTCTATTTCGACGTTGCCTGCGGTTTTTCGCCTTGGAAAGAATTTCGTACGCTTGCTGTATTTCCATAAACTTCTCCTGAGCCTGTCTCCTTTCTTCCTCGGTGCCTTTTATCTTGTCGGGATGATTGTCCCTCGAAAGAGCTCTCCAACGGGACGTTACCTCGGTTTGTGTGGCCGTTTGAGAAAGTCCTAAAACCTACACGCAAAAATTTCGCATTCAGACACGTGTGATGCAATTGCACACGTAACGGGGAATCGAGGCGTACCTTGTAAGCGTTTATTTCTCCCCGAGGATCTGTCAGATCTATCAATTGCGCCCACGTTGCCCAAAAACCTTGATGAATCGCTTGATTCCAGGTTGCTATGAGACTTGCCTGGAAAATTTCGAATTTTGTAAAATACTCCACATCGTTTCGCGTGATTTTTTTTTCACAAACCTTGAGATCCAACCATATGGGAGACGTTAAGAAGTGTTGAACAGCCTCGGATAATTTGATCTCCTCGCCCTCGCTGTCGGTAATAACAGCGTTAAAGTACAAGTACAATCCTATCAAGGACAGGTAGATCGCGGCAGCTAAGCCGAGACAGAAGATCCTTCGCACGAAGCTTCGTTTCTTCCTCGGCTTCAGTCTCCACTGTTTGCTGAACGTATCGAAACTTAAACTAGCAGCGACCACCATCAAAAATATCCACGTGCTGTCGTCCCCGATGTAGAACAGCGTTGGATAGAGCAAATACGCCGAGCAAAGTGCAATCCATATGGAACCTTGTTCTCTGCCAATATTTCCAACCGTCCAGACACCTGATCAAACACAATTACTAGACATTCGCAGAGGGAAATTCAGGCCGCGGCTGAAACGTTATCAACCATAAATAAATAACAGAGAACAATATTCGATTCGTAAAATTACTTTGCCGGATCGTGTAAGCATCGGTTTAACAACTTGCGCTGGCAAACTGATTGCGGACCATAACGTGACCGAACCGTACACAATAATTCGTCGCTTTCTTTTCCTTTTAAACTCGTCGGTACGATATCACTGGATAGAAATTATTGAGAAGTAATAAATTTATTATTTGTTTTGCCTATTTTGTTTTACTTAAATATACTAAAAACTGAGAAAATATTGCAATTTTGGAACAAAAAATTCCAGCGCAAGATGTTAAACGTATATTCAGCGTGATATTCGCACTTGCGAAATCTTATCGGCTAATTATGCGAGGCACAACGAACATGCTATTAGCGGAGGTAAAAGATAAATTGCGCCTCGGTGACTTCACAGTCAGTTTCTGGATTTTGCGTTTCAATTTCTTTACCTAAAGCAATGACCAAAGGTGTCAGGATTAGCAAGTGTCTGAAATTAATTCCAAATACTTCGTCCTCTGGAATCGCGTTGCGAAATATCTCGGCCCAAAAGTACGCAACCGCATTTGCCGTGGCGAACCGCACCGACGAGAACGGTGGCTGAAACCAAGCGACCAAACACACTGTTTTAATATCAAATTTCGCCTACGAGGTCGATTCGTATTTCTTATATGTATATCGCACGATTCGATTCCTTCTTTATGGACAGTTACACTCGTCCCATCTCGTGCTAAAAATAGTGATCGTCGATCGTTTTCTCGATACGTACCTTACGATTGGCCCGAACCTTTCCCTTAAAGTCATTCACAAAGTTTGGGTGTTCGTTGGCATCGCGAACGTACGAAGGTATCCTGTAGATGTCGCGAAGCCATCCGAGACCGAGATATCCACCGAGAGTACTGAAATATATAAAAGCCTGCGCGTCCCGTTCCAGGTATACGTGATGCGCTCCGACGAAACCACCGATCATCCACAGCACGTATGTCCAAAATATCGATTTCTCCTTTCTCGTCGATCCCGAATTGTTCCTCTTCTCGGAATGTCCACCACCGTTTCGCAACTCCATTTTCATGTTTTTCTTTGTTAGCACGTGACACTACGTACGTATCGGATGACACATTTCTTCTTCTGGCTGCACGTTTTAACACGATTGATACGCGGCGTATACGCGTCAAGTGAGACAGTTGACGAGCAGGCCAGCACTACCGGCTTTTAGTTTTGCGATTCCACCAACAACTTTGCATGTGCTACTTGCCAGGAGTCATCGTTAATTATCGCGCGGCTCCTCATTATTCTTTCGACAAGAACACAGAGACAGTCGAAACAACAGCGATCCTTTTCTTCTTCTTCTTTTTTTTTCTTTCTTTCTTATGTACGTTTTTACGTCGATGATCGTTTCCTTTGTGTAAACACAATTGGCCGGAGCGTAGTCGTCGGTGTCGTTTCGAAAAGTACCGCAGGTGGCTTTACCATTGTGGTTCAACGCTCTGTCAGATACGCGTAACGGTACTTTCGCAGGACCGTAGCAATAGAACAGCCGTTCGTGGATCCGACACGGGGAATCGCGTGAATCAACAATCACAGAGGAAGGAATTCGTCGCTTGAGAGAATCTATGTGTTAATTTCTTATTAACAGACTCACTTTAGAGAATATATTACAAGAATGAAATACGTGATGACACGTATACTACGATAATAGCGTATCTACACTAAAAAATGGTGTAACTATAACTAATGGTATAGCACCAAATGTTAAAAAGGATTTTTAAGTGACTCGATTCGTCGCGCACAAATTCTTGTATATATCTTCTCTATCTTTATTTATCAACAAGCTGAGACGATCATTTTTACATAAAAACACAATCGAACCTGAAACATTTCAATTTCATAAATAATTTTGATGTTAATTCGGTCTTTTGAATGAAATTAAACGAAAATGTTTTCTTATTAACGTTTTAGACACTGATATATACCTGTAATATAATTTCGTCGATCTCTTTCGTTACAAAGTGTGTCAATTATTTGAACAGAATCACAAACGTCCATTTGTTCTTTCAAACAGACTTTTTTATATATATATATATAAAACAACCCAAACAAACTTGAGACTTTTTTTTAATATAAAAACACAATCGATCTGAAACATTTCAATTTCATAAATAATTTTGTCGTTAGTTCTGTTAAGTGAAATTGTAGAAATTAAACGAGAATGTTTCCTTATTAGACACTTATATATCTACCTATACACTGATATATATATATACCTGTAGTATAATTTTGTCACTTTTGATTATTCATGTGCAACATACCCGATTCGTACGATTTCTTTCGTTACAAAGTGTATCAAATATTCGAACAGAGTCACGAATGTCCGTTTGTTCCTCGTTGTGCAAGTTCCGTTTTTGAATGAATAAACGTGACCAACTCACCGAGATAAAAGTCCCTAGAAGAATATTACCTACGATGGTAACAATTTACGTCACCAAATATTTATCATCAAACTGCATTTTCTTGTATCATGTATTTGTTTAGTGTGCAACGCGCATTACGAGATGCAAAAAGAAAAAAGAAAAGGAAAATTGTGCAAATAACGAAATCCATCCAACCGGTACCTCGATGAAATTTGTACTTTGACAAAAAGTCGAGGAAAAGTTATTTTTTTTCAGAGTACGCCTGCACGTGTACTGGAAATTTTTCACTCGACAGCGTTTCAACGTGCAAAAAGTCGAATCGAAGAGCAATTTGAAATGATAGGGACAAAATCCGTGTCGGCGGTTCCCTCGTTCTAATCGCAAGCGTAACATGGCGACGTGCACGTGCTGTTGTCTACATTTCTTCATGGCGAACGATCGTCAGACGCGTAACGCGTACGTTTCACGGGTCTCGAAAATTCGTGGTGCCGGGATACATCGGTAGAAGTGACGCGTATATATTTTTTGGTGGGAAACGCATGGTAATGGAAGGGGATCGCTCGACGAAGAAGAGTCATAAAGAGTGGCGTAAGATAGCGAAGAAGGAACGCCGGAGACATCTGCGTCGTAGAGCGGCCGCGGAACGGGAAGCGGACGAGCAACGACTGAGGGCAGCACTGGAGAAAAGCGCGGACTATTTAAACTGGCTGGAACAGCGTGAAGCTGAGGAGAGAGAGAAAGAAGCTCGTGAGAAAGAGGAGCACGACGAACGGGAGAGACTGTGGTTAGAGGAGGAGGTGAGAGAGTTTGAAATAAAGGCGCAAAGTATTCCACGAATTTTCTCTTACAAATTTCTCTTACAAATGTCTTTTCCTCGATTCGCGATACCTGCTGGCGAGCAAACGAGCGATTGATCAATACTATCGTGTTGTACTTTGTTTTTCGAGATCGATAGCAGTTGATCGATATAAGTTAAGATATTCCCCAAGGGTTATATAACCCTGAAAATGAAATGTGTTGAAAATGTGGATACCAAAGCCCGCTAGTTACTACATGGTTCCTATAAGCTAAACAATCGAGCTTGATCAAGCTCGTAACACGGTTACACTATGTTTCGTCTCTCTTTAGGTGAAAGCCCAAGAGGAGTGGCAAATTTTGCAGGAGAAGAAGCAAAAGGCCCGGCAACTGCAGTTGGAACAGGAGGCGAAAGTCCGCCAAGAATTCGAAGCGAAGCAAGAGGCCGTTCGGAAGAAGCAGGAAGAAGAGAAACGTAGGAGAGAGGAGGAAATTAGGAAACGAGAGCAGCTGTTGAAAGAGATCGACGATTACATCGACAACGGGATCAAGACGCCGGAAGCTCTGCGCGAAGTTATCGACAGCCAGCCTGGCAAGGAGCTTTGTCCCTTTTTCACGAAAACAGGCGCTTGCAGGCAAGCAATTTACAAGGAGGTTTTAATAACCTCCCGATCGGATAATTAAAAGCACAACTAAGTTCGATGTTTGCAGGTACGGCGATACTTGTTCGAGGAATCATCGCAGATTATGTTTGAGTAAGGTGATACTTGTGCCTGGATTTTACACGCATTTCTCTCTGGAGAAGAATTCCGCGGAATACGACACAGACATCGGCCTTGAATTCGAAAGCTCGGAGACACGGCAGCACTTCCGCGAGTTTTACAACGACGTCGTCCCGGAACTCGAGTCGTTCGGCAGAATCAAAACGTTGAAGTACTGCTGCAACACCGAGGTTCACCTGCGGGGCAATTTGTATGTCGAGTATCACACCGAGAGGGAGGCTGCCAGGGCTTTGAGGAAGCTGAAGGGTCGATGGTACGCCGGCCGGCAGCTTAACTGCGAGTTCGTCAACCTGAAGTCATGGAGGAGCGCGGTTTGCGGAATGTCGAAATGCCCGAAAGGGAGGGCGTGTAATTTTCTGCACACTTTTAAAAATCCGCACGACCAGTACGACATTAAAAGCCCGCCGAGATGGATGAAGCAATTGTCCTCGTCCGCTCAGGAAATTACCAGCAACAAGAAGCTCGAACACAGGTATTGTCAGCGGGCGAATCGTGTTATATTGATTTTTCTTTCTTCATTTTCTTTTTTTGTTTTTTTCAGAAATAAATCTAAATGGGAGGACGACACGGAAGGTGATAAAAATTGGAGATGGTCCGAATCTCCCGAACCCGAGATAGATCATCGTTCGAGGAACACCGAGAAACGCCATTATCATTCCGACGAAAGGGAACGAGACTTTCGACAGAGATCGGCGCGCGACAAACGACACGAACAAGTCGATCGAGACGCAGCTGCCGATAACGAGTCGCCATCGGTGAAACGTCACCGAGCCAAGTCCAGGAGATACAAAGATGACGAGAAGATGAAAGACGACGACGTTCCGAACGATCGCGAATCATGTAAAAGCTCTAGACATTCCAAGAAACATCAGAGAAAGAGGAAGGAGGACAGCGACGTGTCGCCGAAGCGTTCTCGTAAAAAAAGGCGCTCGAAAAGCAGCGAACGAAATCATCGCTCGATAAGCCACCGGTTCTCCAACAAATATTCGAGAAGCGAGAAAACGGAGAGCGTCGACAAAGACAGACACAAGTTGAAAAGTCACAACGAACTGTGCCAAGACCCTTGGAGATGTGGAACCAAAGACGCGCGTACCAAAGAAATTTGCGTCGACGCGATGAATGGGAAATCCAAATGGGACAAGGAAAATTCGGAGAAAGTCGATTCCGAGGGTACGGAATCCTCCGATTCCGAGATCTCCGGCGTTGTCGAGGACCAGAAGGATATTGATAAGTCGGAAACACCGTGTCAACGTTCTTCTGAAAAAGTTTCCGACAACGAATGGACTACCACAGATTCTGAAGACGACGTGAACATCAAGAAGAATTAGTACAAGAGACGACCAAGAGAACACTTTGTTGAAAATTGCGCAAACGATCCAGATGTAATAATTATTATAGTTCCGACTATAGTAGTATAGTACCGACGAATACTTTTTCACATCGAAATATATTTAACAATAAAATGTATTCACACTTGTCTCAGTTCGTTCTCTCCATTACGAGTTTCTTTAATCATTATTGTCGGAAGTGACTTGAGAGATTTGGAGATCGATAAAAATGATTTATGAACAAGATACTTTGACCGATATATTACTTATCGTCAAATTGGGACATGTTCGAGTGATATTTATTTAATAAACGAACTATGAAGATTAAACGATTAGGCGTTTATCTATGTTCATCGGTTCGACTTGTATCTTATACGTATGTACGTATATCTTAACTTATCAGATAAATTGCTTTTAATTTAATGTTAAGAGAAATCTATTCCCCATCTTCCTACGAAATGTTGAAACAATCGTAGAAAAACACTCGATGAAACAGTGTCTCGCGAACCGATCTAAACTGTTGACCGTACTCGCAAAATCGTCGTTCTGAATATTCGATATGGTTTACCTAAGTTTTCTGTTGGTATTGTGCCTGACTTGTCATCTCGCTCGCGGTGTCGGCCTCCACGGATTTCATTTTCACGGCCTGGAAGAGCCACGATCTTTGAGTGAATCGGAAAATATAACCGAGGCATGGATCCAACAACCTGTTGATCATTTCAATCCTCGCGACAATCGCACTTGGTCGATGGTACGTTTGTTAAACGTGTACTATTAAACAAGACTTATCCATATTTACATACGTTATTTCGACGTAGCGTTACCTTGAAAACTCGAGATATTTCAAGAGAGACGGGCCGATTTTGATCATGATTGGAGGAGAATGGGCAATATCCAGGGGTTTCTTAGAAACTGGTTTGATGTACGGTCTAGCCTCCACTCACAACGCGATGATGTATTACACCGAGCATCGTTATTACGGCAAAAGTAAACCGACCAAGTACGACGTTCCTTCTTTCAACTTAAATCTACGATAGTCCTTTTGTTTGTTGGCGACAAATATTTAATCATCTGTCAATCATTGTTCAAACGCTTTTCAGAGATACCAGCCCGGCAAGTTTGCAATATTTAAGCGTGGAGCAAGCACTGGCGGACTTGGCGCGTTTCATCGAGACGAGGAAAAGGAGGGAAGGATTCGAGAACAGCACCGTGGTCGTTTTCGGCGGATCTTACGCTGGAAGCGTGGCAGCTTGGCTCAGGTTGAAGTATCCTCATCTGGTTCAAGGTGCCCTGGCCAGCAGTGCCCCGATCTTCGCGAAAGCCGATTTCTACGGTATGGATGAATAATCTCTTTTGCAATTCAACGTAGCTGCTGTCGTTTCGCGATCAAAAAGGGAGCTTCTTTTCCTTAGAGTACTACGAAGTGGTGACCGAATCGCTGCGTAGATACGGTGAGAAATGCGTGGACGAGGTCAAAGCTGCGTTCAAGGCGGTCGAAGAGTTACTCACTGCTGAAGATGGCCCGCAAAAATTGAAACGACATTTCAAGTAATTCATCAGTTTTTGTTTTCAGAAAACTCGCTGTGCGTAATATTTTGCAATCTCGTTTAAATCTCGTTTCAGTTTGTGCGACGTGCCCGATGCAAATTCGCCCAACGATCGAGAACATTTTATGAATATTCTAGTCGAGGTATAGTCTGCAAATCCGTGTCAGTTATATCATTGAAAAGGAGTATCGTTATTAATCGTGAGAGTGTCATTTTAATCAGGCATTTGGTGCTACCGTTCAATACGACAAGGTGGAGAATGGTCGAACACAGATCGCCGCTTGCTGCGAAATCATGACCAATGTGCGTTTGGGCACTCCTCTTCAGAGATTGGCGCATTTCGTGTCAAATGGAAAGAAATGTTTGGAAAATAATTACGAGAAGTTTGTGAGACTGTACAGAAACGAGGCATGGGGCGCGCAACCTGACATAAGTAGCAACCTAACAGTTTCTCTTAACGATTGATAAGAAAAAAAAAAAAGATATTTCGACCATTGAGTATATAGATATATCAATATCTATACTTGTTCTTATCGTATCGATGTTTCCAGTGAGACAATGGTCCTATCAGACTTGCACGGAATACGGTTATTACCAAACGACAAGCTCAAACAAAACGAGCTTTGGATCCTCATTGTCGTTGCGTTATTTTACGGACATTTGCAGAGACTTGTACGGAGAGTAGTACGTATTGCATCGAACAGATTGTATCGAATATACAGGGTGGGCTAAAATTCGTTGTACGATTCTACGTCAAAAGATAAGAAAAAAAATTTGGTACAACATTTTTTTATCTGAGGCTCGGTTTTCGAGAAAAATCCACTTTAAAGTTTCTTCATCTTTGAGTTTCTACGCAATGAATTGTCTTCGTTGTTGGAGGATGTACTCTTAGCTACTACAAGGAGTATGATTTTCCAACATGACGGTGCATCGCCACATTACACGAGGGAGGTTAAAAATTTTTTAAATCAAACGTATTCGTGTTGGATCGGCCGTGATGGTAAGGAACGTTTGACCACCGAAGTCTCCAAACCTCACGTCTCTAGATTTGTTTTTATGGGGGCATATCAAAGAACAAGTTTATAAAGACAATATTTCAAATATTACACAATTGAAGGAAAAGATTATGGAGGAATTCGAGAAATTAAAAACCGACATCAGCTTACATTCTGTTCAGATGTCATTAATTCGTCGAGCAAGCTTATGTATGTAGGCAACGAGCAGGACATTCTCAACAATACTTGTAACAGTGTAGTACTGTATCGTAGTATTGCAATAGAAACTAGTAATACGGAATAAAAAATTAATTATCAGTAGGAACACTTTGTACTGCTTTAATCACGCAATAGATAATGTTTGTCTATTCGGACCGCGGTAGAAGAATAGACAACTAAATCGTTCGCAGAGATGAACAAACTTTAAAGTCGATTTTCTCGAAAACCAAATTTTTTTCTTACTTTTTGACGTAGAAACGCCCTGCTCGGTTGTACTACGAATTCCGGTCCATCCTCTATAGTGTACAGAAGAATTTATCTCTCGTTTTGCAGTTACAATAACGAATTCTTGAACGTCAGAATCAAAAGAACGAACGTAATGTACGGCGGTTTACGGCCAGATTTGCGAAATGTTATTTTCACCAACGGGAACGTCGATCCATGGCATGCTCTGTCCGTTCTCCAGGACTTAAATACACTTTCTCCCGCCATATTTATCAATGGTATTTAAACAAGATATCCTGTATCTTCATTTGGCTTCATTGTTGTCATTACCGAAAGAAAAAAAGGAAAAAAATTTGTCGTTTGTAGGATCGTCGCATTGTCGCGATTTGTACAGTGACTCGGACACGGATGTGCAAGATCTCACCCAAGCTAGAGCGAAAGTACGCAAAATCATTGGCAGCTGGATTTCTTCTTAAACTTGTGATGATGTTGTTCGTCGTATTGGCAAATAAAAGAGAGCGATATACGTATACATGCGTAAGAAAATATTTATTTCTTCCCCTAATACGGTTTTATTTACAAATAATTCAAATCGAATGACGTACAACTTACAATTATGCAACGCGACTGTGAGCTTTCGAAAGTTTCTACTGCAGTATTGAGATCGAAAATTTCACTAATTTTTCTTATACATTTCTTCTTCTTCTTTTTCTTTTTTTTTTCAGTAATATCTTATATTAAGTCTCGATATAATCGATATCGTGTATTGTACTTGACAATCTTACACTATCCATAGAGCGTGCAGCATCGTTTATTATTTAATGTGCAATAATCGGGTCGAATTTTCGATCAGTCGACTTCGAGCTTCCGAAAGGAGCCGGTGATGCCGTACATGGTGGAATCGCTGGACCCAATGTCGGAGCAGCCGAAGCCTTGCTTCAAGGCCGAGACCGCACCTTCGCGCGCCTTCTCCGAATACAACTCCAGACACACTCTCATTTTATCGTGAGTCAACAGCGTCGGTCTCATCTCTAGCAACTCTTGCCTCCACAGTTCTGCGTGAAAGTGAAATGATTTTGTCGTTTTCGTGGTTTCGTCGGAAGCAGCGGTTCGTACTCACCGATCATCTCTTTCATTGGCATCGTGCCGCCATACTCTTTGGGCAACATGCTCGTATCCATTTTGTGATTGATAGCCTCCTCCAGGCTGGTGTAAATCCTGACGCGTTTCTTTATCTTTTCAGAGATCAACGACATGCCGAAATCGAGGGCAAATTTCAACGACGGATGAGTGTTGATCGCGTGAACCTCCTTGTGACGCATGGGTATAGTTCGCTAAAAATCATCGTTACGCTTGTATCCCAAATGTTTTGGCATCGCGACGTCGATGCAAGTTGCGTTTACGAACTTGCCGGGGGAAAAGGATTTAATTCGATTAATAAAATTTATCTCCTCGCCGAGGAAAAGAGAAAAATTAGCTGCAGCCTTCTGCTCTCCTTGAACATGTTGCTTCGTCAATCGGCAGCCGCTGAATATGGAAAATTGTGGGAGGGAAGAAAAAGAAACAGAGGGTTTGTAAGGTTCATAAGGTTTGTAAGGTTCATACCTCGCCGTTTTTCACGATACGGACAGCCTCCTTCGGCGTAAAAAGCGTCAGATGGGGGAAACTAACGCCAGCCCCGTCGGCGAAATGAACGAAACCTCGTACCTGATTCTCCTCGTCCTCCATCAAACACTCGTAAGTTATCGCGTGAATTCGACACATGTCAGCGTTCGTGTACTTGTGGGGATCGAAAACGCCTAAAAGCGCGTGTGCCACGCGGATCAAACACAGAGTGAGCATGTACCTACACGCACAAGTACCTACATAGTACATACATATATGCGTATAGAAGTTTGTTAGAAGAATTACAAATAAAATTCGAAAGATTTAGATCGCTGGATCCGATCTTTCGTTCGCGTCTACGTGACCTGAAATTAATTTCATCGTCGTTGCAATCGACAGCAACACATGTGTAATTAAAGTTTTTCAGAAATTGGTAATTGAAATTGTTTCGATTCGTTGAAAGAGGATGAAAGATATTCGAGATAGAAAAAAAAAAAAAGAAAAGAAATCTTGAGAACGATTATCACGCTGGCTACTTCCAGAAATGATCGACGTTATATAGAGATATATAATCAAGTTTCGCAAGAGCAATCGACAATGCTGAGATCAACACGTTCACCGATGTCAGCTGGACAACGTGACGCGATCGGCACGTATATTATATATGTTTAGGATATTTGTACGAACACCGTGCGTGTCGCAAACGAAATACCACGAAATTTCACAATACGAATTACGGTTATTCGTCAGCATATACGTACGTAAAGCTGCAGGCACTGCAGGCAACAGAAGGGAAATCGAACCGATCGATCGAACGTGTTAAAATTGAATTTACCTGGTCGGGCAATTACAACGCGGCGGCCTTTGGCGTCGCGTCCGGGTGCAGCAAATAGATATCTATGAAAATTAGCAAATTACACGATCGTTGCGTCTTCTTCGTCAATCGTCGACACGAGCCAATCACATATTCTTATCTTACCCCAAAGACAACAGCTCTTGCATCGTTGGCTCGGTGATGTCCAAATGATGAAAGGCAAGGTGATAAACTTGACGCAGCAGCAAATATCTTTCGATCGCCTCCTCCGCCATTGGGACGTTGAACTTTTTGCATCTCAAGAACCTCAATAAGAACCGCGCATCTGTCGAACGAGATAGTTCAGTGTCGGCGACAATTCTTCACGCGCGTGACTGCATGAACGAGTGATCATTGAATATGGAAAAGATGATTCTCTCACCGAGCCGACAGTTTTGAATACGCGGATTCAGTTTTATCCAGTTGCGTATCTGCTCGAGAGCTTGGTCTCTCGTGTTTTTGTCCTCTCTGAGCTCCTCCTTGGCTAGTTTCTGCGTTTCCATCGAAAGTGAGCACTCGTAGCTGTCTCCCTCGGTTACCCATTCGATCGCTCCCATCTTGCTTTAATTTATATCCAACGATACAAAGGCAGCTTTGACTTTTCTTCAAAATGTAACAGACCGGTGGAAATTCTAAAAAAAAAAAAAAAAACACCATTCGTTTCTCTCGTTACCAACGATCAACTCACTTTCATCTTTAACCGCGTGGACAAATTGTCGTTGCTTCAATTAATACGGTATTTAAGAGGACAGTTTGAAATTTTCGAAAAATCGATTTTTTTTTCTTTTGTTTTTGTTTTAAATAGCAGTTTGAAGTATTAGAAATAAGATACAAAAGGTTCTAGACTTTAAATCAGCCCGAAATTGCAATATTTTTCTCAGTTTGAAGTATATTTAAGTATAACCCAGGCAAAATTGCATATATAATATATATTTCAAGTATATTTAAGTATAACCCAGGCAATATTGCATATATAATAATGAATTTATTGCTTCTCAATAATTTCTATCCAATGATACCGACGAGTTCAAAAGGAAAGTGACGAATGTGTTGTAGATGGTTTGGTCACTCGTTACGGTCCGCAATCAGTTACCAGCGCAAGTGGTTAAGGGGTCAGGGCAGTTTGAAATTTTCAGAAAATCAATTTTCTTTTTCTTTTTTTGTTTTAAATAGTAGTTGTTTTAAATAGTAGAAGAAATAAGATACAAAAGGTTCTAGACTTTAAAATAGCCCGAAATTGCAATATTTTTCTCAGTTTGAAGTATATTTAAGTATAACCCAGGCAAAATTGCATATAATAATGAATTTATTGCTTCTCAATAATTTCTAGTAATATCGTACCGACGAGTTCAAAAGGAATTATTGTAGACTGTTTGGTCACTTGTTATGGTCCGCAATCAATTGCCAGCGCAAGTGATTAAGGGGACAGTTTGAAATTTTCAAAAAACCAATTTTCTTTTTTTTTTTTTTTGTTTTAAATAGTAGTTTGAAGTCTTAGAAATAAGATACAAAAGATCCTAGCTTTTAAAACGACTTATTTTCGGGTATAATAAATAATAATAAATCCGCGGATACAGAATAATTGAGTTTGTATCACTCACTGTTTACAACTTTAAGCAGTATTATAAAGTGTAAATCGTGTGATTCAAATATTACTTTTGGTGAATCGAATATTAGGGAACTTGGATTCAATTTAGTTGTGAATTGTAAGAACTGTGAGCCTCGATATATTAGTAAAAAAATTAAGTAAAGGATACATATGAAAAATGACGTTCTGAAACTTTGAACGCGTTTTTCATGAAATTAGGTTTTTAGGTTTTTAGGTGTGCAAGATATCTCGGAATCTAACCAACCGATTACCGTGAAACTTGGTACGTATTTTTAATATAACATTTACTATTGATAATTGAACATTTTTTAATTTTTAACAATTTCGAAAAATATAAACAAAAAACGTAGAAATTTTTGGCACAAATTCGATACTTCAAAAATAGCTACTATTTTCATAATTTTTACGAAAATGAAAATGTTGGATCGTCGATCTATAGAGAATATTGTTTGCTTTTGAACTTCTTTTGCCCTTTTGTTGCAACTAAACCTGTTTGGCTGGAATCATGCACACCGATAGGCAATGTACAAAAAAAGTTGTGTAAAAGGACGCCCTTATAAAAAGTTAAATAAGAGCCCTCTTTTTTTCTCTTTTAATGTTGCTTTTTATAGTTCGTAATGTGTCAAAATAAACCACAAAAGTTCATGTCAATCAAATATATACTTTTCTTTTAATAGCTCTCCAAAGTATTCGTAATTTTTAAGCCTGTCAAACTGTTCTGTCCCCTTAAAATAAGTATCCCTTCCGGTCTTTTTCACTGAAACAGAGGTCAAATTTCCTCTCGAGCTTTCCGTCGTGACTGCACTCTCTTTAACGAACCGGTGACATAGTTTTCACCGATGTCGTTCAAAGTCACCGAATGCGAACGAAAGTTACGTAGGAAGAAACACGCTCGAAATCTCGTCCTCTCGTAACGCAATGTAACATAACGTCGCGTTGTCCTATGATTTCGTAAGAATCGACTCACCGGTGAGTTAACGGTGATTTTGTGACATAACAATTTCGTCGTTTCGTGATATAATGCCGTCGAATACCAGCAACTATTACGTGTATCCGCGCGATAGTAATGCGTGCCGCGTTGTGAGTAAGTGACTTGTTTTGCAACCACTTTCTCCGGTTATGTAATCACGCGCCAGGTCGCGCGCCCATCATCTTTGTTCCCCGATCTTGTATATATGTACGTCCAAGACTAACCGTCGTCCACATAACATCTCGCTATCTCTTTAAGTTAAATAATCCCCTCGGGCCGGTTCCCTTTCTAACGATCAGCTCTGTCGATTTCGATTCTCATATGTCATTTATCGTCGCATCTCTGCTCGTTCGATCAACGAAGAACTTTGAATTTCGTCGAGAAACGAAACGACGACAATGATACGCAGTGTTTCGACCTCTGTTACACGCACTGTTTCAGTATCTTGGAATGTGGAAATAGGCAGAGGGGCAAGTTACTTGAATTTTTCAGAACGCGAGATTTTCGCTCGCTACATATTATAGCAGCCGAATTGAAAATTCGAACTTTCGAGATAGACTTACAGATTCACAGCAAATGGTTTCCTTCATTAACCTTTATTAGTATTAAGCTTTATTGCGAGCGTAACGCTAATGGGGTTATCGAGAAACTAAACAGTGAAATAAACTACGTAACACTATCTTCCGTGTAGAAAGTTCCACTTATGTTATTACCACTCGAGTTCTTTCTTCGACATCGGCTACCGTTCACCCCATAGGTGGTATTCTCGCTAGGAAGTATCAATTGGATTAACAGATCTACTCGGATCGACCCTTTTCTTTTTTCATTCATTCTCTCTACTCAAAATTACGTATTTTCTTCTCTTTAGATAAATAGATCAGTGGTTCCCAATTTTTTTTTTTTTTTTTTTTTTTTTTTTGGCCATCCTCCACTTAAACATCTCTAAAATCCTGATTACTCTACTTCTGTGACACGTAACTCTCATTATTCAAAAAGTGAACTTTTGACGTGGAGGAAGCCTAAATGATCATTAACATCAAGGTCCAACAGACTTCCAAAGAACGTGACATCCGTGAAAAAAGGAATTGGAAAGTGAAATTTTCATTTAAAGAAATGCATTCTCGAATTGCCACCTAGCAAAAGTAGTATAATCAATTGATTTTTAAATGAAATCTGGAATGAAGGATCAATGAAATATACACTGTCTCATGTATAAATTGTGAATTTAAAATTTTAATAAAAATGTTAAAATCTTTTATGGGACGATAAGACCCTATAGAATCTTATATTAATTAATTTTTGTATTTAACGTCGAATTTAAATTAATATTTGATTGGGAGAATTATTAGATTTAATAAATTTTAATTTTAAAAGACTTTAATTAAAGAAAATAATTTGATCTTTAATTTAGAATTAATAGAATAAATCATCCTAGGGATAACAGCGTTATATTTTTTTATAGATCTTACAGAAAAAAATCCTCGATGTTGAATTAAAATAAATTTTAAATGTAGAAGTTTAATAATTACGTCTGTTCGACTTTTAGAATCTGACATGACTTGAGTTCAAATCGTAAGTCAGATTGGTTTCTATCTATAAAAATATGTAAACCACGGACAAGTGTCAAAAACTAGAGAGAATAAATCTCATCGAACATTTCGTGTCAAACGGAAGCCTGTATCGATTCCAAAAACACCAAGTTTGAACAGTTTGTGTAATCGAACACGAAGCAAAAGAATTATCAACTCGAGTAAAATATGCGAACATTGCATTACGTTGTATACGTCACCACACGCGCCAATTAAACACTGTTTCGCATATTAATTCGATTTGATTGACCGTCATTGTTTCCAGTTATCGATCAAAATCAATGACACCCTTGGACGTTCAAAAATTTATTCTATGCCCTTGGCCTTTAAAGTTTCTGACCTCTGAGAACAAGGCCAGTCCAAGTACAATCGCATATGTAGGTAACTTAAAATTCACCCGACGTCGGTTCAGCGAAGTACATCGAGAAGAACGATTTAAACGCCTTGCGACGCGATTGAAATAGCAATTAGCGAATTATCATACAAACAGGAAGGTTCATCCGAAGGTTTATCCGAAACAAAGTACGTATCACAGTATACGTAAAACAAGCTAATATGAAACGAGCTACTAAAGGAATTCGAAAGTTTATTTTTTTATTTGCCAAGGCAAATTGTTTAAAATTGGCTAACATAGAATTTAAACATCACGACACAATCGGCACGTGTCATTTGTTTGAATATTTTTATTATCCTCGAGGAGAAACGTATCAATTTCTAAAAATTATTTATCGATTTTTCAGGATTTCTTTAAAAATTGGACTCTTAAGAAACAAGCTCCGTTAATGCCGTAATAAATAAATTCTTAATAAAACTTGGTATCAACTTACTAAATGAACAAAAAGATGTAACGTAGTACCCCGATTCGTAGTCGCGCGGGTGAACACCTGGAGGAGACTGTCTCCTCTTGGCCGCCGACCGCTCTTTTATAATTTCCAGTTACACCTTTCCTCTAGCTCCGCCTTCGATACTCGTGCAGCAGTTGATATGTACCTGCAGACTCAAAATAGAGGAACACAAAAGTCCCTTTCAGGGACAAATCGCGTCTTCCTTGTACCTTTCTTGACTCTAGATGAGTCATCCGAACGATTTGTCAAACAGAAGACGACACCGTAGTTGCGTGGTTTTGCGGTCAACTATACGCACCGAATACCGTGGTTCACCTAATTGCACGTCTTTTATAGATGCGACAGGTATCGTTGTTCGCTTAAACGATGCACGATAGCAGGTAATTTCGTAACAACTCTTCCTTTTCCTACTCTTTTACAATTCTTACAAAATCTTCCCAAAAATTGCATTCTCGTTCAGAAATGGGACAATCTGTTTGTTAGAATAACTTGGCGATTTATTAACAATAACTAGCTTATCAAATCAATGTGTACTCATTGTCAGTCGAAAGAAATTAATTATATTATTCTCCCTTTTCATTACTTTTAATTACTTTTAAATTCTAAAACTAATGTTAACTCGCCGCATTAACATTGGCAAGATGAACACGATGATGCCATGTAACGTTTCAAATAAAAATTATTAAAAAAAAAAGAAAAAGTGTACGATCATATCGTATTTTCTACCGCATATCGACGCAACTGTTCCTATCTTACATCATTCATCCACGTAACAAGTAATTAGGAAATTTCTTTTTTGCTTGATCTCGAATCTTACGGTAATCTCATGGGCATTTATTGTCAAAAAAACGAGAACACCGAATTCGACGCTATGACGCATTAATGTTACGTACTGGCGCACGAACGATACGCTTAAACTTGAAAGGATTAATTTACAGTTGCCAAAAGTTTTTAAATACGACACGTGAATTATAACACGTTGTTCAAATTAACAAAAGTTAAATTAAAAAAGACTATTTATAAAAGAAATAATAGAGACAGGAAAGGAAAAAATTGAGAGTTACATAGATTGTTACGGTTTTGCATAACGATTGTGATCATACTGACATAAGTATACGTAACAGTTGCTTCGATGTTATATTCCTATCAATTTCTCGCACGTAATAGCTCGAGTATTTACCATCAAAAAGTGAAATAACATTTTACGCTCAAGTGTTCTGACGTAGACATAACATTTTATGGGATAGTGCACGCGTCACACAGAGTACCGATTTTGGAAAGAGAATCCAAGCATTGTCTGCTTAATCGTTAAGTGCGAAATTAAAGGAATGCGTAAATTATTAAAAAACAAAATGAATAAAAAAGTCAGAAATTTATTAAAATTCTCAGTGTTTTGAATCTCTCTCTCTCTCTCTCTGCTATTCAAACAAATTTGTTTATGTAATGTGTAATATTTATTCTGTAATTTGTATAATTCCTAATATTGTCGTTTTGTTTTTGTTTTTTTACAAATTTAAATATTCGATAAATAGTATATTTCGTAACTACATTAATTAAAATTAAGTTAAAACACATTATAAATATAATGGTACTACACTTTGTATAAAAACTTTAACAAAACTGCAGAAAAAATTAGTTGACTTGGCTTAACGTGGTTTGTTAATAATTGAATTAAGGATAACATTTGTAATATTCCAGCTTATTCTTGCTATCACTCTGAGGCTAAAATTAGATTTATAATGATAAACTTTTGAAATATGATACTTTTCTACAGAATCCACTGATATTAAGTATGCAATTAATATTACCATTTCAGTCTTTAAAATTTTGAGCACTTAAAAGAAAGAGGAACATATATTTTAAAAGTGAATAATCAAATCTTCAGTGTCTACCAATAACTTGTACCTTAGCATAGGCCCCCTTGCAGCCACTGGCAGAAAGTAACAAATTTTGTTTGATTTCATTTATTTGATTCGACATAAGTGTCAAATTGCTAATTGCTGCCGCTTCTATTATGCACCTTTGCAATGTTTCTTCATTCAAAGGCTGATAAGGAACAATTAAGCTATCAAGCTTTTTATCAGCAAATGCTTCATTAATTGAATTTATACTTTGTGTAAAATTTATTGTTCTTTCTAAATTATTATTCACCTCTTCTATGTTGAAAATTGCTATTACAGTAATACATTTATCTCTTTTTTTATTTAACACATCTATTATAGTAGAAAAAATATCTAAATTTCTTATTTTTAAATTTTCCATAATGATTAATTGATACGAATCAAATAAACTTAACATGTTTCCATTGGAAGAATAGGGGAACAATGTATCATATATAAAAATTTCTTCTTTCAGAGGAAAATGTTTTGCTATAATATTAGCAGTGTAAGATTTTCCAACACCTGTTCCACCTACAAGGCACAGAACTTTTAAATAGAAAATATCTTGATTTATATGACTAATAATGTTAGAAATTGCATTTTCTTGTCCATGTATCTTCTGCTGTAATTCTTGAGCTGCATTTGAAAAAAACATTGCACGATTACAGGCAGTAGGTATATTCAAATTTAGAAGCATTGCAAGTATTACTGTGACTATTGGAAATAAACATAATATCAAGCAATTGTAATAACACATATTTCTCTTCTTTTTTGGTGGAATTTTGTTTTTTAATACCAATGGTCTGAATTTATGTTTTATTTCCTGATACGTCTTTTTATTCACAATCTTTGCGTCACCGTTTGCCTCAGCTTTAGCCACTGTTTTCTTAGGGTTTCTGAATTGTGCAGAGGAAAAATTATCAACTTCATTTATCGTATTCGCATTTGCTGCAGAGCAATGCAATGAAAATTCGGATTCATTTGTAGGATTTACATTTTCAGTTTCATCGGGTAGTATTTCACTAAATGGTTTGTTCGGTACAAATTTCGGTGCTTGTAATATATTGCTATTTTTACAAAACTGTCTATTGGGCGACGTAAACGAATCAAAATAAGATTCGGTTGTTGTCTGATATTCGTTAGAAATTTTATTGTCACTTTCCTTTTTTTTCATTTGTCTGAAATTATGAAAAGAACCCATTATTTGCGTCGCATTAGCACGAAATCTGCATTATAGTTTTTACCTTGCAGTTGCACGCTCGGCAAAAATTTGCTCGCAATTGTATTGTCTAACCAAGTTAGGCTGAGTTTCACGCTGACAGATCTGATTTACGCAGATTCGACGAGAAGATGGCGTTTGAGAATAATTAATAGTCTCCGTTATTTCCCAATCACTGTCCGAATCTAACAATTTCAACGATGCAAAATGTTTTTCCATACCAATATTCTGTATACCTCAAAGCTATATGTACAATGTAGTCGACAATCAAACATAACCTCAAATTCAAAATATTCTCTTCAAACGAACGTGAACAGATCAACATCATTTATGAATTTTCCGTATTGAAATTGTTTATTTCGTTGATTAGCTTAAATCAATATTTTAAGTCGACATTTTAAGAAACGAATCACATAGAAATTACAATTATTATTATTGTGATAAAAATCGTTAAAACGTTAAGAAAATAATATCTGTACTCAAATTTAAATTTAAATAATACAATCGACACAAACACACATATGCACAGACACACATATATATACATATGCGTTAATATATATGTTACATTTTTTATTGTATGTAGCAAAAGAATATTATTCTTTCTATAAAGAGCAATAAAGAAGTTTTAAAAATTGCGCCTAGTTCAATTCGTCCGTTCCGTCCACCATCGATGACATTCCCATTCCTCGTGTCCAAGCTCAGTTTCTGCTCGTGTATCGACGAGTGAAGATTGCACGTTTTAAATACAATTATTTTGTATTTCCGTGATGTGACACTTCCCTGGTGAAAATTAACGAAGATGCAATTGACACAATTAGTGATACGATGTCTTTGGACTGTGTCAATATTTGTGTTAGCAGCGGGCAGAATTCACAAACTCCAAATACGGGTTAGTTGAAGGAATCTTCGGCAATAACGCGTGTATATCTATGTACCGATTATTTTATCAGAATTCCTTTGTTACGTCAATCGCTGTTTGACCGGTTACGGGCATCAACTGCGTTACCGAGTTTGTACGTGCATGCTACGCGATGATCACATTAAACTGAGAAAAGAATTATAAATGCATTATGTAAACGAACGACATATTGCAACGTCGTACTTACATTTATACTTAAGACCGTGATTGTTCAAGCGTTTGCAAGCACGGTAAACAATGTAGAAGATTGCCGCAAGAACCATTGATATAAAAAAAAAAAAAAAAAAAATTGCAGGATATAGGTTATAGCCAGTTACGTTCGTTGGACAAACTTCTTTCTCGTCGACTGATCGGTTTTCTTTCTTGTCGGCTATAGGACACTTTGTTGTGCTTATACTTCGAACGTTATGTTCTTGCATGTTACAGAAAGATGTAAGGCGGTACATCGCGCTTAGTACCTTCGGCTTCTACAAGGGAGGTACTCTCGATGTGAACCTGACGAATTTCAAGGCTGACCCGTACGACGAGAACGCCGTGGTAAGTAATGATCATCGTGAATATATTCGCGCAAAGTTACGCGTCGCCCATTCATAGACACCTGTTTCCATTTCTTCGTCATTCCCATCGCTGTGTTACGCTACATGTCGGGAAACTATTGCGTGTTCGAGACCATTGCGGAATACTTGGCTCTCAACGCTTCGCGTTTGTAACTATCAATAAAAACGTGCGCGCGTACGATACCCACTTTTCAATTGATTAATCAGCTGGGATATCTCGGCGGAATGGAATAGGGTTATGTATATCGGATATTGTGTCGGAAGCGCAACTGTCGCCGCACATTTCAATTCACGGGGGTAGCTGAAGTTAGGTAACAAAGTGCGAATGTTCGGAACAAGTCTTTTCATAATTATTTATTTTTTAACTCCAGCCAAATCCAATTGTTCAACACGCTTGGACTTGCTGCAATTCTGGTTACACGTTACTATGTACGCAATATTTAACGCAACTCAGCGTTTATTAGCATTTTTTCAATCTGTTTTATAAATTCTCACTCACGTTACTGCTGAATTTTCTTTTATCATTGATTGTACATATTTCGCGACTCAAACGGGAAAGCAAAATGTATTACGCAAATGCTTATTAAAGTGTTGGCGAAACAGTGAATGACAATTGATTAATTTCAGAGAACGACTCTCCCAATCATTTATTTAAAAAAATTGTTCAAATTGTTAATTGTTCAAAATGTTTTTTTTTTTTCTTTTTAAGTCCGAAGACCCGTTTTTCCTTGTATAATTGCGTGCTCTATATTTTATTGCGGTTTAGTTTGGATTCAGTTTGGATCGAACCCTAAGCGATGCGATGAATCCATATTTAGACAGTCACCAAGAGAGATGCGTACTCCAAGACATTTCGAGCATCAAGCCCGATTTCGAGCAAAGAAATGACAGCGCAGTGATATATTTTATAATGGATTTGAAGAACAACTTGTAAGTATTATATATCCATGCCCTGCTGCGAAAATGCATCTAGCCTTGGAAATTCGACGACCACGAATGAGTACGAGTAAACGTGTTGCAGGTTGAGAGTAAACTGTAGCCGAAATGTGGGCATTGTACATATCTACAAAGATTCCAGCAAAGTGTTAGTATTTCACGAGAAAAGAGATTCCTTTCCAACTAGATTCAGTGATACCGTTCTTTTCCCACGGAGGAAACGGTACACCTCGTACGACGGTGAGTTAAACTTTTCTTCAAAACTTTATCTCAATTGCATGACAGTAGAATAAACATGATATGACCGGTATCGTGTTTCTGTGATGATAAAAGTCCTTGTTGTTAACAATTGTAATTGTCGAGTACTTTGACAACAGTAAAAGAAATTTCGAATTGATAACTGGATATCAGTTACATTTAACTATGGTTTTAGAAACGTATGTTGTTATAAAAGATGAACAAGAATTTAATACGTTTGTCAGGTGTAATGCGCTCTTAATTTTGGCAAGCATTCAAACTGTGAGAGGTAGTAGCAGTAAAGATCTCGTTGAATGAATAAAGTGGGTAGATCGTAATAAATTTTCGCAAATTCCTCAAGTCTACCAATTTGCGTTTTGTATCCCGATAGATAAATGTTCGATAGATAAATATTTGTTTGATTTCAATTGCAAGTCACGCACGATAATCTAAAGATCTCTGGACGTTTATTTAAAGATTCTAGGCCAAGAGGCCTGAATGTTACGCTGGTAAAGTAGAAGATATCCATTCTTCCGTAATTTTCGACGACGTCCACTTAACGATTGTTTATCAGTGCTAGTTGAAGTAGTACGTTAAAATTAAACATCGCTGTACCCATAAGCTATTTTTGACGCGGTTTGTTGCTAATATTAGATGCGCGATTCAATCACAACACTGACATAAACTAACAGGTGGGAAGTAAGGAGTTGGCATAAGTTACATTGAACGTAACCTTGGAATATGTGCTCCATGATGTTTCTTGTGCAAGGAAATTTATATCGACACACATTTACAATTTTTTGCAGATTGCTAGCTTTTGTACTTGCAAGGATCAAAGGCTACGCTTTCCCGATATAATCTGTAATTAACGCGAGTCAAATAAGATCTGCTAATTAACCGCAGTCTTTTTTTTATCCTTGTTTATATATACGCATAAATTATCTTGATAGTGGCACGCGTTCACTGGCACCCGCTCGCCGATTCCGCATACCATTGTATACGTGCTGGATTACGTTGTTAACTGCGAGTCGTCGGGCATTTTCATTCAGCCCGACCGATATACGACATTGAACTTTGCATATCTATCTTATTTGACATTTAACTTATTTGTTTAATCGATTGTTCGACGACAATAGCGAGATGTAACCGTACGCTGCGCGCGTAACGTTTCAGCGTGACGTTATCGATTCCAGTATTAACGCAAGACGGTTTGCAATTGTCGGAATTTAGGCGTGAAATTGAAATATTGCAGTTGGAATCGAAAGCGATTGCAAAACTAAAAGCGAATATGATTGATATCTCATGGAATGTGGACCCTGTGGCAACATCGGTGATCGAACAGCACCAAGTTGAGAGTCGCTATAATTAACATGACTCGTCCTCAATCTTATAAATAACTCGAAACTCAAGTATTTTTAAAGGTTTGGTTAGGTAACTATCTTCTAGAGTAGTACATTTCATGCCAATAAATATTTCAACGGGGATTCTACCAAAATTCACCGGCCAATATTCGGTTAAATCATTTTATTAATGGATATCGAAGCAACGTTTCGTACACGTTCTCTCCCCCTCCCCCACCCCTCTAGGGTTCTAGTGTTCTCTGAAAATATTACGTACATACTTATCAATGATAGTGCAATTTCCACAGGTATCGAGAGAACTGTTATCGAGGATGAATTTGAATCGAGGTCGGAAAGTAGCGTCTGTTCTCGTCTAAAGTTGCCGATGACCGTGCAAACCATAAGAGGGGAAAAATATTACAATACGAGCTTTGCCATGTACGTTGGTAGCGAGGAAGAGGAAGGTCTTTATAATCTTTATTTCCATAATTGCCCAAATTACAAGTACGATTCGCAAGTTGCGTTGGATTTCACGGTAAGGCGTCTTTTTCTTAACTGTTTCAACTAAAAAAAAAAAAAAAAAAAAAATAGCATGTTTGCACTGCGATAAAACGAGGTATAATTTACAGATACAAATATCGGAAATCAACAACGGAAATTTCCTCAGCGCAGGTGAAATGCCTTTACCAATCCTATATTTTGTCATGTCGCTTCTGTTCTTTCTGTCAGGTTGCTTTTGGGTGTTTATCCTCAAGAGGAGCAAGTAAGACTTTCGTTTGATTTTTTTTTTTTTGATCAACGTACATAGCTTCTCCTCTTTGAAACTCACGGTTCAATCTTCCTTTAGGCACCCTGTTTTCAAAATTCATTATCTTATGGCTGTTTTGGTACATCTGAAGGCCATGTCCTTATTCTTCCACGGGATTAATTATCACTTTATTCAAACAAAGGGAGAACACGTTGCCGCATGGGCAATCTTGTATTATATCACACATTTACTGAAAGGAGCCGTACTTTTTATTACCATTGTATTAATTGGCACTGGATGGACGTTTATTAAACACATTTTAGCTGACAAAGATAAGAAGCTCTTTATGATCGCGATACCGTTGCAAGTTTGTATATTTGTATAGAGAAAGAGATAAGGAAAGAGAATTGACAGATACGTGGTATGATATATCGTCATTTGTCAGGTATTGGCAAACGTAGCAGAAATAATAATCGAAGAGAGCGAGGAAGGAGATATCGAGTATAAAACTTGGCGAGACGTTTTTATTCTCGTGGACTTACTTTGTTGCGGTGCTATTATATTTCCGGTTGTTTGGAGTATCAAGCACGTGGAAGAAGCTGCACACATAGATGGCAAAGCAGCCATTAACTTACGCAAGCTCAAGCTTTTTAAGCATTTCTACATTATGATATTTTCTTATATTTACTTTACAAGAATCATAGTGTACTTACTTAAGGTAATGGCCTGTGTTATGTTACAATTGTCGCTCTCCATTCTAGAAGGACTTTACCTTTCATGTTCCATTTTACAGATTACAGTACCTTTTCAATACGAATGGTTAGATGAAATGTTCCGAGAAATGTCCACGTACATCTTTTTTGTTCTTACTGGGTATAAGTTCCGAGCAGCAGCCGCAAATCCATATTTCACGTTGACCAACGATGAAACAGCTCATGCTGACGAGGACGACGAGATGGATGTCGTGTGAGTATCTACGTATTTGACACTGTTCTCTTTCTCCTTTCTAGAAAAATCTCTCATTATCATATCGAAGACTATATCATTTCCATTCGTTAGTTTCAAGCATTTTTTGATATTCCATTAGTTATTTTATACTCTTGCCAGTTCTAATGTGACGATCTCAGTCTTTTTTCCAGTGTTTCCGGAGGTAGTGGCATCACGGAAGGTCTCAGTAAAGTTAGCAAAGTGCCGAAAGTTCTGAGGCCAGTTACATCGGATATTCCATCCACTCAGGAGGAGAGAGACTGTTTGTTTAACAAGACAGAATCTTCTCACGAATACGACTGAACGACGTAGAAATTGGTCGTAATGTAACGACGATTCAGTATGAACGAAAGTAAAAGATTCGTTTGCTGTTTGGTGATATATTTCGAAATAGTGCCAACAGCCAAGAGTACCATCTAGCGTGAACAACATTTGAAAACTGTCGAACCAAGACAGAAGTACATAGTTAAAGGTAGCGTCAGAACTTCTCGTTTGGATTTGTTTTGTATATTTTTTTTTTTTTTTTTTGTACAGCAAAAGAACTGACATTTTATTTACCAAATGGTCACATATTGTGTTCCTTTCTCAATTTTGCGAGAAAAATTTTTTTGAATTCATTTTAATTTGGGTGTAACCTTACGTGAAAACAGTTTCTTTGGACACCTAATGCAATATTTTCGATTATTCGAAAACTATTTTTTTTTTTTTTTTTAGATTCATTTGATTGGCAATAGATTTTCTTACGCAAATATAACATATAATATTATCTGCTTCCTAAAACGTAACTTCGGATCAGACTTTGAAATTTAACGTAATTTATAATTATTAATACAGAATTGCTAATAGGTATCGGTCAGAGTTAATCTAGACGGTTTTAAATGTTTAATGTTTTGGATACGCAATATGATGTGATTATACGTTTAGAATCATACTTGAATGCAAGCTCAATGAGAGTAAATTCGTGTTTTGATATGCATCTTGCTGTAGTTGATTTTTCTTAGGCATTTAGCGAAACGGAGAAACATTTCCATTTGTGTTTCCCATGGCAAACTTAGTTTTCGTCGATTCGAAGGAGTCGCGCTTCGGCGCTTTAGCAATCTTGTGATAATCGATGCACCAAGTTCGGTGTATTATAATCCATTTTTTGTAAAGCACTTAATAACCTTTTATATAGAAATAATTATCGTATCAAAAAAAA